AAGGAGCTTCAAGCTTGCAGAGTGATGACTCTCAGAAACACAAGCAAGCACTAGGTTAAGATTAGACACTTGTTACCACATGTGACCATCTGCCTTATTTCTGTCACACACAGCCTCTAGCAGCAGGAACAACTGAGCCAGCTGTAAATCAGTATTTCAACTCCTGCGATTAAGTCTGATAGATTAAAATCAGTTTCTACCATATTATATAAAGATGAAAAATATGGTGACACTGTCTTTCTGTTGACTTCCTCAGGATGCTAATGTGAGAGCACTGGAGGAAGCTCCTGAACCTACAGGTAAATTTAGAGTAGCAAGAAAAAGACAGTTTTACATTTGTCAGCTCAGCAGGAGACTTCTTCAGGACTGCCAGATTGCAACAACTGTAAATCATCTGTTAATTTTCTTTGACAGTAACTTTTTCTTTTAAAAAAGTAAATTAATTCACAGATGGCAAGTCCATGGAGAATATCATACATGTTCTTTGAGGGGACCTACCTACCAGCCTGTCCCAAAGTGGAGGTTTTCCCAAATCAGAGCACACAGCATTGATATATACCTGTTGTATAAGTGAGCTTTGTCAGTGCCAAAAGTACAATCTCCTGTGGAAGGCAATAACCTACACTACACTAATGCTTTCTAATTAAGAGTGAAGTGCCTCATCTCCTTCTTCCATCTCTGCAGATCATTCTGCTCATATCACAGTAATGAATACTATTACTATGAAGCTTTCTGGGCACAATTTGGGCTGGAAGCACGAGAAGAAATGGTTTCAATKCTAATGGTCTCTTTACTGTCCACACAACAAGCCCCACAAAAAATCCCTGTACAGGACCTGCAGGCCTGTGGATTTGAATCTTTGGAAGGAAGAGATAGAACCTTTCCCCTCATTCTGTCCCTTTATTTAAAAGGAGTTTCTAAAAAGAAATAAACAAATTTTCTGAATAAGTTTCTAACAAAGAGAAGGAAAAAAAGACGGTAAACAGTAGAATGGATCAAAGATTATATGAATCTAGTTCAAGAGCATCAAAGCTCTACTTAGGAAAGCTTTAAAATGAGAAATTGGCATTATGTGATGAAAAAAGTTTGGCCAAATGAAGTTCCCTCACTAGCAAGACCAGAGCTGCTTCAGGAATCTTCTGGGTAGTGGTGAGCTACAGGAGGAAAGATTCTAATTCCCAGAAGGTCTTCTGGAAGATCAGGATGAATAGAGGGTGCTGCTAGGCAGTGCTATGTTTGGCGCCAAAAGAGACTGCAGCCCTGTGTGACTTTTCCACAGCCACTCACACTATTGGGTATCAGCAAGGCGTGTGTCAAAATACAGCCTGCCAAAAGGGTCCAAAGCACTTGCTTTAGTTCTCTGAGAAATTTTTCTATCTCARCCTGATAAACTATATGCAGATGTGTCTGCGGTTTATCCTGTAATCTAATTACAGGCTTGTGGAGAGAACAGTTTAACTCAGAGACCAAGCTGACATATCTGAGTGTAAAATGCAAAGAGGGGCAGAGGGATTAAAAGAAGAACAGGCCCAATGATAGCCTCTTTTGTAATGACCCCTCCCTTCCCTTGGAGTACTAAAAGGTGAAACCTCCTCTGTAAAAGAATCATTACACTGGAGCACATGGAGCATAAACATTTGTGCACCAGAAAAAATGGCTGAGCTAAGTGAGCAGTGCACATGCAGTAATTCCAGAGAACAAGAACAGTAAGAAAAGCCAAGAATAACAGGTAAAAGCAAAGAATTGGCACATCAAAGCCACATCATGTATAGAAGAATCCAAAAAAATGCAAAGCAATGACTGTATTTTACATCTCAATCAGGCTCTGAATGCTCTTTGTTAAAACAAAAAGGTTGCTGGGATCACACAGCATTGGCATCAATCAAGAACCAGGGAGAGAGGAGGATGTGGTAAATAGCAATCCCTGTTCTCCATGCCACCACAAGTAATCCTGGCATCTGTGAGAACATGAAATCAGTTTTAAATCAGAGAGCACCTTTCTGTATGGTGTGCTCATACAATGATTTTTGCTACGCATTTATTGTGGCAGCAAAGTGTAAGAAGAAAACAAAGTCCTAATTCAATTGTATAAGCAATACCAGTAAAATGCCTAGAAGTCCCTCAAATTCCATCAMGTTTCGAGGTAAAAGCCATCACATTTACAAAGAACAGTCTTAACCTTTCAGGAAGAAATAGAGTAAATCATGATAAAAAGATGGTAAAGGCAGAAGAAATGTCTCAACCCAAGGGAGAAGGCATTTAGATTATGTTCCTGTTTGCTCAGATGTACTGCGAGTTTTGCACAAGCATGCACCCTGCATGCTCCAAACAAACCTTATGTGATTGTTGTGGTTCTGAAAAGAAGTCAAATATATTGTGTCAGCTGTATATTTAGTAAGCTGGTGTGAGTAGAGAGAGATTATCATTGCTGCAGCATGATTAGCATGATATAAAGCTTACAAACTAACTGAGTCAGAATTTAGATGACTAATTGCACAACTGCATATTATATTTATCACAAGTCCCAAATATTTCTTCCAGAGTCCTGACTCAAATCACAAAAGTTAAATCAAACCAGCTAAAAGCTTGAGATTTAGAAAAAATGTTATACTGCTCCTTTCTCTCATCTTACCTTACTCTGTGACACACACACATTTTATCTGTGCACAACACCACCACTAAGAGCAAAGAAAATTTTAGTCYCTGACACAGATATCTTCACTCAGCTCCACTCAATTGAAACAATTCAGCAGAACTCAGCTGAAAACCAGACTTACTGCACATACTCATGGTATAGAACAGGCTCCAACTTATAGAGCACATATACCAAATTGCTGTGTGGAAGCTAGAAGGAAACAGCCCCTGAACTGGTATTATACAAAAACATGGCACTTTTTGAGCATCTGCTGTGGCAAACATGATTTGAAGCATACAAGGCAATAGTCCTCTAATAAATAACCTCTCTCTTTGTTTTGCCAATTGACAAGTGCAATTTAAAAAAACATAGACACCATGAGAAAGACAAGTCTTATTTTACGATGAATAGTAAGGMAACACAAAAGTAAGATGACACATTCAGTAAAACAATAAGCTTACTACCTGAGCAGCTTTAGCACCATGCAAAAATAATCAAGGTAATGCACCTAATTATTACTGTATGAGAGAAAGGATAGCAATTTAGAAAGATAAAACACCAGTTGCCTAAATACTTTACCATCATCCAGAGCTCAAMATTTCTGGGGAGCCCCATTTCACAGCGAGGACCTGCAGAACCCTCCCCAGTAATGGGGAAAATCCTGCACATCCACTTGTAGGTAAGTTCTCCAAATTCACCCTGAAAATGAATCCAGCTTTTATAGGTCCAAATCAACAAGTCAAAGTGACTTGATTATATTTGTAGCACAGGCTCTGCTGGTAGAAGGGGGTCTGACAACACACTTCCCTCCCAGCTGGGGCCAGGGCTTGGCCAGAGTGCAGGCCTTGGCTGGGAGGGTTTCCCCTAAAATACCCTACAAACAAGCCTCTATTCATGTCCGTTGTGAAAGTTTCTTAGAAGGATACATTTCTTGCAGGTAACTACACAAGATTATGTGAAAGTTTCAAAAGCAGCTGGTTTGGTGATAAACTGCATAAGCATCTCAGTCATCTATTTTTAGCAAAACAACACCGATGGTGTTAGTCACATAATGGGCAGGATTCRTCTTTTAGATCAGCTCTGGCTTAGGCCTGCTGGTCAGACATTAGCACATCACCTTCAAGCACAGTAACCATGCTCTGTACATTAATACACTGGCTGCACATCTAACTCAGTTCCTACTCTACAACTTTTGCCAGTAGGAGCCTAAAGGATTGCTACTTCTTCTAGCAGAAAAGGTTGCCTTCAGGGAAGGGTATCATCTAGACAGATATAGCYTTTTACAAGAAAGAAACAGTGTAACTGTCGTACAACCCTCATCTGTTACAGCCCATAGCTGGGATACTGCATTTTTCAGTGAGTATCTGTTTTAGGGGCTGAAGGTTTCCAGGCTTTTAGGACCACTTAGAATGATGCATTAGATAAATGCAAAAGTTTACAGTACTCCTAAATCCCTCTTCCCAATTCAGATCAACATATATTTTTGAACATATGCCAGTGAGGACTGTAATCCTCTAGCCTGCAATGAGGAGGATGATATTTGATTAAACAGACTATAAAAACTGATATAACTGATGTTAGTGGATAAAACCTCTCTCWGCAGTGTCAATTAGATCTTAGGAAATTTGCTTACTTTTCAACTGCCAACAGTAGGCTACTGGGAGACTACTAACACTTCATCCTTACAAGGCCAGCACATCATATTGGCTCAAGTAGTAGCAAAATGAAGGAACAGATGAGCAAAGTGATGGCTGCTGTTCCTCTACAAGCCTSAAAGTCTTGTATTACTATACTTGCCACAAAATTAGAAAAGAGAATGCTGAATGTGGTTCAGAGGCAGAAAGAGATCAATGGCTCAGTAGGATAACCCTGAGATCCACTGCAGTGGGCACACAGATGCAGCAACAGCATCACGCAGACTTAGTTCTCTCCACTGCAGAAGTTTGTTGTCCAGCAGAAACTTTGCTACTCCTCCATACTGGAATTAAGGCAAAGCTGAGTCCAGCGTCTGCACTATGGATTGTTCAACAGACACAGGCTAACAGGAGGACCGGTGTAGTTTCCCCAGCTGAATCTCCCTTTTTTATCTCTTACTGCAATCTTTGAGGCTGTGAAGGAAACCATATTTCTATGTTCTCAGGTAACTTCTCCTGAAGACTGGAATTGCAAAAAAACCCCTCCAAACAATTCATGTTTAATCTGCACATCATACTGTTTTCAAGGCAGTGGATGTGTCTTTGGAGAGTCTCAATGCATGACTGCTGAGAGAGCATATGCAAACTTATTTGTTAATACTTGAGCCTACTAGCTAGAATAAAAAAAAAACCAGCCTTTCCTTCCACAGATGCATTTTTATTATAGGTCTGGAAGACAGTCATATGTTCATCTTAGCTGCAGGTGAGAGAAAATAGTATTATTTGTAGTTTTCCCCCTTGGCATATACATCTGTTACAGGACAGCGTGTGATTCAGCACAGAGGTTCAGCAAAATGAGTCTGTGTACACCTGCAGCCTGCAAGCAGTTTTGACAATTAGTGCCTCAGAGCACAACTCAAAGTAACAAGACAGCAAACCAGAGAAAGGTACTTTATTTTTTTTTATTCAATRAAGTTTTTATTGTAGAAAGAAGGGCTAATGAAACTTCTGTTTCAGTAAGGGAATAGTAAATTCTTATTTTACATATGAAAATATTAAAACATAACCATCCAGTGACTATTACAGCATTTCATCAATAGCTGGGACTTGGGTAATTTTCACTCAGTTTCATCCACGGCAATCAAAAAACCAGTTTTTTTGGTAATCCTGAAAAGTATAAATGACATTGTTAGCAAAGTATAGAGGTCCAGCCCCCTCCTCAAAGTTTGATACCATTCTTGAGATACATCTACCCTTAACTTCTAAATGCTGTTTATGACAGTGGCAGCTCATGATGACTTTCTAATGAATCTCTGATAGAGTGCTAGAATTAAAGCTCACTCAAATCAGGATGCATACTCCAAAGGTCACAAATTCTGTAATTAATCACATTTAGGACAGATGTAGGTATTTCTCTTTGTTCATATAAAAARTTAACCAGTCAACTGCTGATATGAAAAGCTAACCAGTTAATTCTACTTTGAAACCCAAGAAAAGCAAGTTGTTCTAAGGCTTAACCCTCTCCCACCACACACACTCTTAAAGATTTTTCTTACGTGCTGTCAAATCCAGGACAAATTCTTAATCTTAAGTATGAATAGGATGTTTCTTGTTTTTTTTTCCAAACCAGTAGTTTTGATATTAGATCCCTTATACTGCATTAACTCAGGAAAACATTTAGTGTGCTATCCTTTATAATCTGTTTTGTGCGCCTGCAGTTCTGTAGGAATGCATATTAATGGGACTAGAAATAGGTGTCATGGGGAAGCACTGCTGCTTTTGGTTAAGTGCCAGAGTGAGATGGGCACTGATGTCATCATAGGTACCTCACTGATAAGAAATAAGTGGTAGCAGTAGATACAAAGTATGCATGCTGAATACTTTTCACAGGCAGTCATCCATCCAGTGATAGTTATCCCCTGACAATAGAAGCTGCTTTCTGAGAAGTACTTAAGCATGGTGAACACTCCCCAYAGACTACAGGGATTTGTTCTTGTGGAAAAGCAGCAGATTTTAGGATAGCATGAATCTTTCTCCTGGCACACAGCTTCTGGTACCAATATTTCAGAAGATACCCATCAGCGAGCACTCAATTTATTCTGCCAAATTCCGGTGCGCTACCTCAACAGGACTAGAGGAAAGAAATGTACTGTGCASGATACAAGCACAGGCCATTCTAAGAATTTCAGGGAATGAAACTTACTTTTCTTTGAAAWAAGGCTTGCACATTTCCACCCTCAAATGCAATTAAAAATACTGTCCTTCAAATTTTTATRTAAACCTGGACTGTAGGATTATTCTTCCAAACCACTATTCAGATTTTAAATTTAGATGGTCATGCCATGTAAGAATAACAAATGAAATCCAGAGCAACAGATTTGCTAGCTCTATCACTGGCTCTCTCCTTTAATGTTTACTGGTACTAGAAGAACTACCTTTGAAACCTTCTGGTTCTGTCAGCCCAGCTAAGGCAATAACAGAACTTTATGGGAAATCCACATCAGCAAACACATTATGTTTCCATTTGCAGCTGGTGGAAATGATACTGCTTTTTATAACAATAGCCAGGGGTCTCAAAAAGTAATGCTGACTTCCTAAATGCATCATTTATATAGCCAATCTCAAAGTTCCTAGTATTTAATGCACAAGCCTGATTTCCTCTTGTTGGAGACTTTTGCAAAGACATTAAAGCAATTATTTTTCTAACTTGATACAGCTCTAGAAAATCTGTTTACTGTCAAATACATAAATTCAAATCATTAAGTCAAGAATCAAGAAAGCATTTCTCTCTTTTTCCTGTCCTTTAGATGACAGACATATTTTAATCTGTATACTCCAAAACATTAATCACAAACCCTCAAATGATCTTTGGAAAAGGAGTTAAAAAGTTTAAAATAATTGCACAAGCCAACGTAACTTAACATGTTCCCACGTGTCAGTTGACCCATGCTAAGGTAGTGAACCTAACGTATTTTACTTTTAATTTGATGAAGACTTAGAAACAACAACTCAAAGTGCCTAAAAAGTAAATTAAACCCTAGCAAGGTAGTTGTTCTTTCTGAGTTCAAGAGGAAATGCACTTTTACAGAGTAGCTCCATTCTAAAAAGTAATACTCTTGTATTAAAATTGAGTCTCATATTGGCAATAACAAAGAGCTGATGCTAACTTGACAGCTATTATTTAGTGTACTCCAGATGTTAAGAAGACCAACTTCAAGTTTAAGAACCAGTATTTGCTCCCTAATAGAAGGTCTGAGTAATATAGATACAGGTCTTGAGTCCTGAGCACTTTTCTTGCCATAAAGATATGAAATGCATGTTACCGTTTGGGGGAGACTGAGGAGGATCACAGAAATGTGCTTAATGTTCCTYACCCAGAGTGATCTTAACTGTTAACTTACCTTACAAGAGAGTGAGCAGACATCAGAGTCTCTTTGAAATCTGATCTACACTCTCCWGCCCACCACTTCTGTGCTATGTTTCAGACTTTCTCTTTTTTTTTTAAGTCATGTGAAGTTAAATTACTACCACCTGAGTAAGATATCTCAGGAAAAAGAGGCTCATCATAATATCCTATAATTTWTATTACATGATACCCTATATAGGATATATGGGCAGCATCACTCTCCATTACAGAAATTAACGGAATAGGATATTTCTTCTAATAGTCTCCTAAACATGGAAGTCTCCTAAAGGCTCATGGAAGAGCCTTTTTTGGACTAATTCTGTTAGAACACGAACTAAGTTATTCTGATCCCAAATCATGTATCATTAAAAGGTCAGTGCCCAGAGAATTAGTTCAGAATTCAGAGAGTTTTTGTTCAGAAACACAGGAAGCTTAAATAGCCCCTATTTAAGACTGGTGACWTATTAGGAAGTTACCTTGATCTATTCCTTCTGTTCTTTTCCTTTTTAAATTTACAAGTGCATTTTGYTGCTCCTTTGCAGCTTCTGCAGGACAGTTTGGTCTTGGCAGCTGATTTCCTGGAGTGGGTCCTGGTCGGTTACTGAAATACTTCTGTTTCAATGCCTTAATGATAATGGAAGAAAAAGAACCAAGTAATTGGTAGGAAGTGCCAGAACAGCATTTATAAAGAGGTTATAATGAAATAAAGCACTTGCAATTGGGACTTAAAAACTACTTGAACACTTTTATACTACAAGGTGGCCTTGAGTCAAATAAAGATTGTGTTCTCAATTGTTGTCCACCCCACCTGGATTTGTAAAGCAAGGGACAATTGTGTATTCTTGTTTTTAACTAGGGCTCAGACATCCTGACAAAACTCTAGACTATTTTCTAAGAGGTCTGGTATAAGTGTTTTCTAACTCTGAAGAGCTTACATTCTGAATAAACAGATGAGAAAAGGATAAAGAAGAAGGCAGGAATAAAGAAAAATTAAACGAATATATACGAAGTCTTGATCAGATTCATGAACTGGACACTAGCTGTTTTGTTAGCTTTTAAGATGGGTCTTTCTCCCTTATTGCTTTAACTATGCTGTTTCTACCCTGTAAACTGTGAGAAAGACATAGCTCATATTAGAACAGAAGGCAAACACTACTTAGCAAGGTTGGTTTCGCGTAGGGAAATTACATATTTTATTTTAAATTTTAGGAACCATGAAGTGTAGTTAACAAAAAGTGACTGTCTCTTAGATAAGCTTTACTCCTGCTAACACCAGTTACATGATATTCAATAYCAGTTACAAATCAAACCAATACAGTAGGCACAAGTTGTCTCCCATCTTAAACTGTGGCAATGTCAATAAAAAGTTTAGCCTAGAAAAATAATATACATTCAAATCACTATCCTACAATAYGAACTGAAAAATTAACTAATTCAGATGAACTACTACAGAGGTATCCCAAGCACAGCAGAACTAATTATCTGGAAAATAATACTAAATSTTCTTAAAGATGGTGGCCAAAACAGCCTGAAAAAGTCTTCTAGTAAAAGGATACATAACAAGTGCACTAATCTCCTGGATTCAGATCCACTGTGTCTAACTAGCAATGAGGGAGTCTTGGTCCTAAGAGGATAGCTCCTTCTTGCATGCTTCCCTATCAGCGTAAAGTGGCACAAAAACAGTTTTCAAACTGCCAACTGGTATTTCTTCTTCATTGCAGAAATCAATATTCTGAATACAACATTCTGCAATACTTTCCTGCAAGTCATTTATTTCTTCCTGTCAGGAGTAGTGAAATTGAAAGTATAATGGAAAAGAATACTTAGATCAGAATGATGGTTTAAATCACCAGAGAATTTTATGTTAAAGAAGTACCATGAACGTTTAAATGAAATTGAAGGAGAGCCTGAATGAAGTACAGACAAAAACCTTTCAAACCCAGGGAAAGTTATATTGAGATTTAACCTCAGTTTCAGGTGACTGAATTTAGCATGTCAAATATGATTGTCTGAAGGTCATGGCTCATACTCATTTTAGTTGTCTACCTTCACTGAACCCTGGGAATGAAGATGATCCATGCCTTTCAGAGTTCTCTCTGTAACACAGTGGGATTACATTTCAGCAATTGTGTGATATTTCATTTCAAACCTGGTTTACTGGCTTCAAAATACATTTATCTGATATTAACAACAGGTTAATGAACATCAGGAGATAACCCAAGTGTACCATACCTGAGTAGCTGTTACTCTAGTGCAAGGATTAAATGTGAATAAGCCTTGAAGAAGATTGAGCAAATCATCACCAGCTGCACTGAAGATATGTTGAAGTGGCATTCCAGGGAAAGGCTTAAATGTGACATAATCTGGAAGACTKGTCATCCCCTACAAAGACCAAAAATGAAATGTATGTTTTTCTGTTAGAAAGAGCTCAGCTTTTCACAGAAAGGGAACTTCATGTGGCTGTCTTTCAGCAGAAGTAACTTATCTTTCAAAACATCTTGCTAATAYTTGGTCATTGAAATAAATGTAGGAATAGTAGATCATAAAAACTTTTTTCTAATAACTGTTACATTTATTTTCCACTTTCCAAATGAACTGTCCTTCCCTTGCTTCAGTGGTGATCACTCCAGAAGGAAAAACTGCTAAAGGAAGTAYGAAAGAATTTTAGAGTGGGTCAGACAAATTAAATAAAACTTCCTTTAGTGAACTGACATGGTGGGAGGAAAAAAATTCACAAAAGAGCCAGTCTTCCCTTTCCCCACATTAGTAAGTTAACTGAACATCATGTGCATTTTGATTTGAAATGCACAACTGAAACTTTATGTGGGCAATGGGAGGAGGGAAGGAAAATATGCACTAAGCAGTTAAACAAAAGATTAATTGCATCTCTTTTTGTCCTGTAGGTATGAAATCAATCTCATTGTGTTCATATTCTAGCATAAAAATTACACCGACAATTGTAACAGACAGTTACCCAAACATAATACTTTAGTAGGGTTTTAAGTAATTTAAACCCCTAGCTGTCACACTTCAAGTTTGTCCAAGTAAAATAAAATATGAACACTAAATCAAATATGCACTCAACCAGTTATAATCCTGATAGTAAAGGTTTCAATTATTAAAATATATGGGTTTGTGAATGAACTTGGGACTGCATCATCTTTGTTGTGTTAGCTAATCTCCTGTTCTCTCTTTTCCCCATTTATATCTTAAATCTTCCTCTCCAAAGAAAGCAGAAACATCACTGCAAAAAAATTCATGAGTTCCATGGGTGTGGGGTTAGCAGTGTTAGCTCGCACTGCATTTCTCCATTCGGCTACAGCTCCATTTTGTGATCACATACCATAGCATTCCAGCACCATTTATACTAAGAAAAAGCAGCACAGAGAAGAGGCAGAGGTTTACAAGTCCAGTGAGTGCTTCCACAACTCAACAATAAAAGACAACAGCCTGATCAGGGAATTCACGACTCCCTCTGCCTGTCAGCTGGTACAAGTTGCTTATCAGATGTTATGTCCCACTTCCCTAGCGTCTGTTTAATAACCATGGTTAGATAGGTCATTGTGTGCCCCGACAGTATGTATGGCCCAGTGTTACTTGATTTGATGCATCTCAGAGGTAACTGTACTATTAATTTGTATTTGTTATAGTACCATTGTTGAAGTAAATTGCTTATCCCTAAAGCTGTTGGTCTGCGTTTTTTTACTATCCCCAAACTATAATCTACCCAGACCAACTTGGGTCCCTACAAATGGTTCCAACTTCTGAAAGTGATTAAATCCTTSCAGGTTAAAGTACACTAATTAAACAAGTATCTCAAAAACATTAAGCAACAACAATAATCTCACACCAGTAGCCTTTCCACAGAAAGGAAATAAAAAAGTGTTGTTACTGTTGCTATTGACCACAAGTTTGCCAAGAGAAACAACAAATCTCAGCTGCTTCATGACATGAAAAACTGCCCTCTGAAAATCTACTCAAGTATTCTGGTATAACCCTTTGTTAAATTTCAAGAGCTAAAACAGAGAGTATCAAGTAAAATCAATGTCAGTCTGTTAAACAAAAAGACTTACAGGCCACTGTTCTTCTGTTGGAGTGCCCAGTGTTTCAAATATCCTTGTCAGCTGGTCAAGATCAGAGTCTCCAGGCAAAAAAGGAACCTGGAAGAAGGCAACAGCATTTGAYTGAATTAACTTCTGAACTTCAATTTTAGGGAGAAATCTGGAGTGCTAACTCCTAATTGCAAGGCAAAAACCCTCTGTATACCATCTCCCCACAAAGAAGTACACTGGATATTTGTGCATACTGTTATGCCCTAATAGATTCTGAAAGTTTCCTGAACCCAGGCTTGATATCATTGACTTGATAGCAGCCAGCTCGAACATAAGATTACGACCACCATGTAAAATAACAAAACACAGAAAAGATTTTATATCTTAAWTGTCAGCCTAAAGCCAGTTGGCCATGGTGATCTTTTCACCACCTGTTCTCTGGAGTTAACTTTTATATATATTTAAAGTSAATTGTAACTCGATTACATAAATTAGACTTATGAGGGATAGAAAACTGCCTGATCAGTGTCACATCTCATTTAAACAAAGCAGAGGACCGAAAAGGGGATATCTGCCCAGTTCAATTTGTAGCTTGTATACCAGGCACACAATGCAAGTAAAAAGAAACTTGATGACCAAAGCAAATTTATGAAGAATGAGAGGCAGTGTTTAATTAATTAGAACAGAAAAACCATAATGAACATCCTAGGAGATAGCATACTAAATTTTGGCATCATGAAAGCCCCTTGAATATACCCTGCTTTCATAAAAAGCYCACATAAAAGTAGCACTGTTCTGAAAAAGGCCAGATACATTTCAAAATATCACAGTGATAAACATTGAACCATCATACACTTCCCATTTAAAGGCAAATCAAAGAATCAATTGAATTCAAGAGTTATTTGCTTTCTAACTTTGCCTAAATGTAAGCAACTTAAGAAGTTCTAATGCATATTTATGTACACATCACTGGTACTGACTGGTGACACCTATTTGGTGTGACCAATCAAAGCAAAAGATGTCTTTCAAGGTGTTTTYACACAGCAAGTTCTCCAGCAGTATGCCACAAAAGCACTCAAAGTAAGGTGCAGAAACCAAGTGGAAGGTACTTAGTCATGAAAGATAAATTATACTGCAGGCTACTTCATTCCTTCAGCTGTGTCTGTGTCCCTGCCTCCATTGCCCTCCTCACATTTTCATGTCTTCTCCAAAGAGCTGTATAACAAACATTCTACTTTGGCGGAAAATACTCAAGGACCATTACGTTTGCGTACCAGACTGAAGGAGTGCCATAGGATTATCCTGATGTTAACCTTCAGCTTAATTCCCAGATTGTCATCTAACCACAGTTCAGAAAAATATTAGTCTTCTGTTCATTACAAATAAACACAAAATTAAGGTACTGGTGATTATTATTGAGGAACAGTGTGTAAGGGACAGCCCCTGCATGCATCTGTGATGTTACATTTCTAGAAGAATAGTGAACTAAAACAGATGTCTGTGTATTGCAGGAGTTACCTATTTGACCTCTCTTGAAGGCAAGATTGAGAATTTGTTGCAACTTTTTTACGCCGCAATTTTTACAGACTTCCAATGCTTATGATGCTTATGGAACCTCAGCCTATTCAAAAAAATCACTTTAATTACAGTTAACAAGCTTTTGGAAACTTTCCTCTAGCATGTCGTCAGCTGCTGCAGTTAGCAGGAAAAAAGAAACCCACACAAAAACCATAGGGTCCTGAAAAGCAAATACAAAATGATTACTTTTCAATACTTACTCKGAGGAGCAATTCAGCTAAAATACAGCCAACAGCCCACATATCAACACCAACACCATACATTCTAGCCCCAAACAACAGTTCTGGGGCTCGGTACCACCTGAAAAGAAAACACATTTTGGGAGAATCACCTGGTTTTGCTCATGTCAAATGCTATATGCACTGCAGCAATGCAAAAGCTAAAAAAAAGGATATTGCTTCTGCCTATATACTTTTCAGACATTGAAGAGCTGTATCCTACCCCGCAGAGTGTTTTGTTTAACAAGGAATGAACAAATTTATGCATTTATGCACTCCTCACCATAGAGTCACCTACAACAACAAATTAACTGCAGTTTCAAATGATCTGGTTACAAGCAYTGAACAGCAGACATGCAAAGGAAGKAAGTTTAAACATGCAGGTAAACTGAAATTTTCTTAAAATTTTATGTTCAAGTAGTCACAGTGAGACAGAATTCCTCCCATTTTCCAAGAATCTACRTATTAACAGACCTAAGTATAGAGACTAATTTTATGCAAAATGAGCCTTGCTGTTTAAAACAATTACTTAACRCTGCCTAAGAACAATCAAATTTAATGCAATAACAACATTTGAAACTACTGTAGATTTTCTATCCTTTGAATAAAGGTGTTAAACCAGCTTTGCCTGAACAGTTTTAGCATTACAGCAGTCAGAAAAGACTGCATATTTTGCAGCCCTCCTTTTTAAAGCATACCTTAAATAKGCATGCCATAAAAAATATTTATAAGTATTTTAACTGGTTCAAGTGTTTTGTCTCAAAATAGGTAATGCGACTAGCTCCAAAAATGGTTCTACATCTTGTGATTATCAGAAAGAAGCAGCTGTCTTGCTCCAAAATCCAGGCATATAAACAGATACATACTATTTCCACACATTTCAAAAGAGTATAATTTCACTAGATACCAGAACCACCCCCACAGATGCATATTCTAGCAGTTCTTGTGGAGACCTGATTAGACAATGCTTCCTTGTGCTTTTTCTATGAGGCTCTTGCCTCATCAGAGTGGCTAGATGCCACTCTGAATATGTTGATTTCACATGGTGTATTTCAAGAAACAAAATAGAATGTCTTACCTTGTYACTACCTGGTGCGTATAAACTCTATTGGGGCTTCCAAAAGATTTTGCCAAGCCAAAGTCAGCCAATTTTAAAACCCCATTTTCATCTAGCAACAAGTTATTTGGTTTAAGATCCTGTCAATATAGAAAGCAAACAATGAGTTTTGTCAGCATTGATAAAAACAGACATACAATGAATCTCCTGGCTGATATGTCATAACAGTATTCTAAAACTAAAGACTTGATTCAATTGTAAAATCTATATTGTGAGCAGAAAAATTTAAACTCCCCAGGAGATAAGTATTTCATCACACATGAAAATCATAGTGATACAGACCCATTTTAATACTAACATATTTAAGCTGCAGAACTAAAAGATCCACTTAAACTGATTAAGTTTTGCTGCAGGAACAGCTGTTTTGTTAACTGCATAGTTGCCAACTGAATAATAAAAAGACMTTGCCAATGCTTCAAATAACTGCAGAAATTACTGAAGTCATACAGTTCAAGACAGTCCAGTGTTGTGCACTGACCTCTGGCTAACAGAAAAGTATCCACACAGCCATTCGCTCSTTCTGTTCTAATCCCACCAGCCACCCTCAGCAATACAGAGGAGAGAATAGCAAAAACAAGAAAACTCCAGGAGCTATTATCTCCCCAACAGCAAATATGAATGCTTATGGAATGAGAATGTTTGAACTACCTTCATTAGACTTTAGACTCTAATTCTATCCAATGTGATTTTTGCTGCAGGATGAAGGCTGTCAATTTAGTATGTGCTTACCCTGTGCAGAATCCAATGCTGATGTAAATATTCTAATCCTTGAAGAGTCATTAGCATATATGCCTTGATGTGAGACTGTGTCAAAACAATACTTGTATCCTTTATAATAACCTGCAGAGTTAAAGGGATAGTAAAGCTCAGCAAACAAGAAAAATTTATTTCCATTCTTTCAGCTCAAAAGTAATTTCAGCATTTAAGACAAAGTTCAAATTGGCAGTCACATATTCTCTACCATTTCACCTTTTTTCCTGAAAAACAGGTCTACTCTGGAGATAAGGAATTGAAATGATGGAGTCCAGATAGCTTACCTAAACTTTGTATAACCAGCCAATGAAAAAATGTATGGGAAACAGAAGTTTTTAATTTAATCTCAGTTCCATGTTGGTACCCAAACTTCCAAGACAAAGATGTACATGCAAAAATGATAAATGTGCCAATAAACTTGAAATTATGTTTCCACTTATCCTTTCTTTCTATTTGCAACCTAAGTAACTAATCTTCATTAATGCAATGATTTCCTCTTCTATTTCTAAAAAGGCCAGAAGGTATGGCCTATCTACTCAAAGAATGTAAAAAACTTAACATTAAAATTCTATGCAAAAATCCCAAAGCTTATTTGTTAATACCACTGTACTGTTCCGTCATAGCCTTTCATAAGTTTCAGCGGTTTGAGTTGCAGAAGAGTACAGAATGCACCAATTTCATGTATGTCACATATGCTTACTGACAATAAGCTGCAGTCTCAGTGGCAGCCAGAGCTGATACCACAATACTGTTTAAAGGCTCTGCATACCACAGCATCATGTAGTACAAGAGCATTTAATTTTAGTTTGTATACTAATCTTCATTTCTAAATGTTGCATAGCTACCTCATAAACAGAATGAAACCTCTAGAAGTCAACTCATTACTAATTTCTATTAGTAAAAAACTGACCTAACCTTTTCAAGTCTTGCATTCACCTAAATTTCTGCAAGCCTGTATCTGCAAGGTATTGACTGGCACATTACTACGTTTGAAACAATGTTTTACGTGTATGTGATTTTACCACCAGCATGTCTCTTGGTATATTTTAGTGTCACACTTACCCAAACATGTTTGATATTATGCTTATCAACTGTATTCCAGAAGCAATGATCTATATCAGAGGTTCTATTGATGCCTGATGATTTTTGCTTTACCTTTTTACACTTTCTGTACCCTCTATGCATCCACCTGTACCCCTTAGCCCACATATTTGTAATTCCTGAAGCCTGATATTCCAGCTTAGTTTAGGAGTTCTCCTGGGCACAGAGACCAAACATCCTGAGGAAGGAGTCAGYGTGCCCTGTGCTATCTTAAACCCGAGGCTCCACCCTTGGGTGAAGCCTTCTCTCTGGAACATCTTGTGTAAACTGGGCTCTGGCCTCATCCAGGGGGGGATTCATTAGAATAGGGGGGCATTACTGCATTTGTGAAGTTTCTTATTGGGGAATCCTAGATAGATATGCTAATTCCTGAAACCTATAAAACTTGTACCCGTGCTGTACACGGGTGTGCATTCTGCCATCAAGTTGTGCACCTGGGATCCCAAATACCAAGGTAAAAGGCCTTTTATCCCCTTAACCGTGTCTGTGTCATTATTAAAAACTGGCCTATCAAGGCAACACTGTGCTCTGACCAGATTTCCAGAAAACTAACATCATAAACATAATTTGTTTCTTTAAGATCATGCTGACAAGCATTTAGAAGTAAAGGAATTAATCAAATGAGAACTCACAAAAACTGAAATTAGTCAAGCTACTTTTAAGGCACGATCTTCATCAACTGACTCAATAAAAGTCACCTTTCTAATATGGGTAAATATAAGCCTGTTAAAGCAGAACTTTTCACAAGCCATCTTAAGATTTTGAAATTAAAAAGTCTTAAAAAATCTTACCTCTAGATCTGTTTCCATAAAATCAAACACCAAACTAATATTGGACTTGTGTCCAAAGGCATCAATAAGCTGCAAAACAAAATACATATGATTACAATGATACATTATAATTAACGGACTCTTCCAGTTTTTGAAATTCAACACATTGTAGCCTGCATGTGGATTTTCAGCTTGTGACAACTTGYTGAAGTTCTTTGACTTGTAACACAAAAAACCTTACTCAGTTTAGCTTCTTAACTCAGTTTCCAAACCAGAAAAATAATCCCAATTATTTTCCAAAGTCTGGAAATAACATTTTACACAAACGTCCTTCCTTCCAGGACATGGGAAAAGAGAAAGAATAACATTGTCGTGTTAACTACAACAGATGATATAATGCATACCTTGTCCTCAAAACTGCGCTGTTCTACAAAACTCCTGCCCTTAACTGAGATCAGACTAAGTTTGCCCATGCACTCAGCTCTGTGTATCCTGTAAGCATATAGTATTTAGAAATTCTAAGTGTTAGGGTTATTAACTTCAGATAGTCTTAGGTGTGTATTCATTTTTGTAACTGGTTTTCCCAGATAAATAAAACTCTTCGGAGAACATCCAAACAGCCCGTTCTTAGCTGTGTAATGACAGAATTTTTAACTTGAGAAAACACAGGTGAGATTATCTAGCCTGGTATCTTCCYTCAAGGTCAGAAAGGTATGCTCTCCATGGTGCAGCTTATTCCTTAGTCTCAGTGGGATGACCATGCAAACTGGCAAACTCAAATTGGCAAGGTACTTGTTTGAATAGCTCGTAATAGCAGTGACTGTGCCCCTCACACTGCAAAAATCCACACAAGTTTCATAAAGACTACTAAGAAGTGCACAACATTATCTATTGCTTTTAGAACTTTCTTTTGGAACAAATTTGAAATAAATTTCTCTAACTCCTTTTTGAACTGCTGATGCCATTTGCTTCTACACTGCCCATGGCAACCCATCCTAGAAAGCCATTACACCCTGACTCAAGCAGTACAATTTCCATTCCCGCTGCCACTAGGTTTTAAGTACGTCTCTTATTTCCAGTACAATAGAGTTTGGAAATAGCAGTTCTGCATGAATGCCACTACCACCTGGTCTTTGTAGACTCCTCATTCCCAGCCTTTTCCTCTCCAAAATGAATTCCTCACTTTTTCATAAAGAATACGCTCCATCCCTTTGCCATTTTAGTTGTCCTCTGCATATTCTCTAACCTTGATAGCAAAAGGAATCCCTTTGAAAGTAAGTTCACAATCCAGAAGAGAAACGTAATTCCAGTTTGAAAAGTATATGGAAAATTCATATTTGATCTACTTGGTTATTTTTGACAGGCATTCTAATCACTRCTATGAGATAACTTCAAAATGTCTTTAGCTCCAGTTGGGTATTGGTAGGTATAAGTCTACTAAAATGCAACTGAAACTGAAAAGACAGAGGTTTTACTCCTTCCAACAGAGATTTTAGACATCATGTGTTTGCTAAAACCTCATAAACCACGATTTCCCCTTTACCATTGCTTAAAAAAGCCTGCTTTTTTACTGTCCCCAATTCTATATGAAGCAAACAATCAGGTAAATCCAGTACTGTGTTCACGTGCAATTTAATCAGAGAGATTAAAAATCWAGTAACCTACTTTTCCACAATTCTTCCCACCATTAACATCTACATAGTTTYTGGCCAAAAAGTAAAAGGACTAAAAAAAATACTTTGCCTTTGTTATTGAAATAGGAGTTTTGCCGTAACAGATGTTTAACTACCAAAAGTATTTGAAGACTGAGTCTAGAACCAGCATCCATTTTACTTACACCAATAATATTCGGATGGCTTAGCTCCTGCAACAGTTTTATCTCCCTGAGGGCTGTCCTGTTGATTCCTAAATTGACAGAAAGAAGAAGATGAAAGAACAAAACTAAAAACTTTGGATTAAGCTTCAAATAAACCTCTCATTCTTGCTACTCACAGATTATTTACCACCGCAAATTACATTCTTAACACTCAACAATTTGCTAAATAACAAGTATATTACCATAACAAGTAAATTGCTGCRGAATAAAAGTGGGCACTTTATTCAACAGCACAGTAATTGCGTTAAATTTAACACCACAGTAATCACATTTATTCATTATATTCATTTATTCATAGATTATGAAGCAACAAGTCTACATTTTGGCAAAAAGAGAAAGTCCAAGCAAAGGCCTAGGGGGGAAAAGAAAAATCTTTTTCATGGTATTGGAAGGCTTGCTTTAATTTTAAAGAAAGGTTTCCTCTTGCAAACATCAGTTCCTCAATATGTCTTATTTCCAGAGGAAGGCATACTAACGAACCTCAATAAATCTCATTTCTTTTTGACATTGCACTATCTACTAATGCAAGGTATGTGTTTTTCTCCATTTAAGCTGCAGMATATGTAATGCATAGAAAAGAGAGTGACCAAAACCTACTCACTTTTATTTGATTTTTTTCACAAGCAGACTTAATAGAAGAAAAGTCAGGTCCCAACAGGGAACAAATGGTGCATTTCAACAGTCACACTGATGGCACTCTATCAAACCATGATTCCTGCAGGGTACCAATTCGTCTCTCAAAAACACTGATGTGTGTGGCTTGTATGAAAACAGACCAGCAAACAAATGCTCCTGTAGTATATCATGCAGGGAATTGCAGCTGGACATAAGCTGAAAAAGAATGTTCTCCTAAAGCATGGGATATGATTCAATGCTAAGACTAGCAAAGTTTTGGCAAAGCTACATTCATTATTTTACACTCCTGCTTTGCCTGTTTCAATTACATGTTTTGGAATCAAATTGACAATGTCTACTTTTGTGTGGGCACAGCCTTTTGAGTTAACTTAGGGAAAACAAACATGATCATTGTTTTTAAAAACGTATTTCATGTACAGACACTGTAGAGGCTGAAAGTAACTACTGTCCCTAAGGGAGGTTAGGCCACTCAAAGCCAGGTGGGTCATGACTCTCCGTCAGTCAGCTCCATTATGAAACTCTGGGATAAGTGATCAGTTTGTCTTTGAAAGAAAGGAACTGAAGAGTTGCAAAGGACTCTTCACTGGAAAGCTGGTAACCCAATGCAGGATTCCTAAAGGACATCAGCCTGCACACAAACAAAACTCTGCTGCACCACAGAGGCTATAAAAGAAGACCAAGATTATTCGGTTTCAATTTGCCGTATCCATGCCTAGAGGCACACTGCTGGTCAGAGCACGTGCTCTACAGTGCTGAACATAAAACAAACTGACAGAAACAAGAGTTTTGATCTTCTTTTTATCAACTTTAGCCTCTGCATACATCACAAAAAATAGAAAAAAGGAAACATATGAAAATGGACACARTCTCACCTGTCTTAAATATTTAAGGCACAGAGATATATTGATACGAAAAGGTATTCTAAACTCAGTACTGCGGTTGTTATTATCGATAGCAGTATTATTAGTATTAGCTATATTCATGTTTGTATTACTTTAAAATCGCTAAGTTATATAATCATATTTAGATATATACCATGCATACAGGYCCTTATGCTGCTTTTGGCTGCTCCTGCCAAAAGTTTGTGAAGCAAACCTCTACTAAGCCTTACAGTGGACATTGAGTTCTATTTTCTCAGCCAATGTATGATATGGGAAATTAATGTATCAATTTACAAAACCAAAACAAACAAAGCACAGCTTCTACAGCATGTATTTGTTTTAAAACTTACCATCTTTAGCTTCTGATCTATGCCCCAGTTTAATCTGAAAATAAATATTTCACAGTAAGTAAGATTAAGATGGTGAGGAATACATTTTTTAGTGTTGCTCTTCTAAGACAGAATGAGTTCCAGTATAATGAARCACTTTACCAGCTAGGTTGGTTTTAGTGGTTTTTTTTTTACCCTTAAAAAGTAAACTATCTCTACAGCATTAGTTTTTAGAAAAAACAGTCATGATGGCACTGAAAACAGACATAATACAAACTGATAGCATAAACTGCTTTGTAGCCACACAGCTTTATTATATCACTAATGAGATTCTCCTCAGGGAGAAATAAGAGCTAAGTAATTGATAGTTATTTTAGAATGATTCTAGTAAAATTAGCACAAGCTGCAAATTTGGGCTGGCTTAAAGTCCTTTTGTCTCGATCATGTAATGCCTGAAATTTCAAGTGCAAAATCCTACCACTGAATATTCCCAGACGATAAAGGTTAAGAAAATATTCTGATAAAACCAAGAATGCTTTCCACCACAGATGCTACCAGTTGCAACCATACAAGAGAAGTATTGCAATGCTAAAGTAAACACTAGAAGGGATTAATGCATTAAACAAAATTACTTACTATTGAAACAAGTCAATTCACCAAGTAGAGTCTTTAGTTAAAGAAACCACTGTAATATGCATTTTTCATTCCTCMAAAAAACAGCTGAAGACCCATTTTTAATACAAAAACTTCCTGCAAATCCTTCAAATAGTAACAAGTGCAACACTTTATGACAACATAAACATTTTCATCATTTGTATGCAAACAAGCATGTTGCAGATCCAAGATCACTTTTGTCAGCCATTTTTTATCAAAAAATTACCATAATGGATAAGGGATACTACTGGAAAACTCGTGTGTAGTAAGTGATTGATATTCATTACTGACTGTTCAAAGTCAGATGCAACAAAATACCAAATAGAAGACTCGGGCCCTCAAGAGAGTTCAGGTCCCCTGGAGAATTGACAGAAGGATCTCGAGCACAGGCAGTGATTTCCTTGACCCTTCCAGTAACAAGAGATATTGACAGGCAGCAAAGGCAGATCTAACAGATTGACACATTACTCTGAGGTTGGTGTAAGCCAAAAAACTTGGGGTTCTTTGACCATGGAATGGTTTCCTTAATACCTGTTCTAYTGCACCTTTCTCAGAGGTGAAAAAGAATTCTAGCACAGGAGCTAGTGGGGCTCATTGACAAGAGCTTTAAACTGGCTTGGAATGGGGAAAAAGAAAACACCAGGCTTGCTAGCAGTGATCAGCGGGATGCCATGCCAAAACTTGAGGAAATGAGCACTCATGGACTACCTCAATAAGCTTCACAAGGTGTTGACTACACAGTACAATTTGTGCAATGTTTCTCTGCCAACACAGGCAGCAGAAGGCACGAACAAGGAGCTCAAAGATTTGGCTCAGTCCCAGAGATTKGAGATCACTGACTTAAATGAAACCTGGTGGAATGAGTCCTATGACTGAGGTGCCCTGTTGAGCTGCTAGAGGCTCTACAGGAGATGTATACAGGGCTCAAGAGGAGGTGCATCATACATAAAGGAAGGGCTGGAATGTACAGGGCTTACAGCTGGCAATAGCACAGTTGAGAGCCTCTGGGTAAGTAAGAATCAAGGGAGAAACAAATAACATGGATGTCATTGTGGGAGTCTGCTATAGCCCTTCCACCAGGGATGATGATGCCAATAAATTCTTCTCTGAGGAACTAAGAGATGCTTCCAAGTCAAGTGCCCTTGCCATTACGGGGGACTACAATCTGCATCTGGAAGCACCACACAACTGGTACAGCCCAAGCCAGAAGATCCCAAAAAACCTGGACTGCTTTGTGGAACAGGTCCTRAGGGAGCTGACTCAGAAAGATGCCCTCCTTGACTTGCTGCTTGTCAACACGGAGCATCTCATGAGCCAAGCGGAGACTGGGGCTATCTTAGCCACAATGACCACGAAGCAACTGAGTTTAAAGTCTCTGTTCATAGGAGGAAAGTTCCAGCAAAACTTCAGCTCTGGACATGAAAAGAGCAGATTTCAGGTTGCTCAGTGAATTATCAAGTACAGCCACAAGAGAAAATGTTTTTGCAGGTGCTTGGGTGCATCACCTCTTAAATGCACAAGAACAGGCAATTCCCTAAAGTCACTAGTCAAGCAGATGAGGCAGAAGGTCAGCTTGGCTGAACAGGGATCTCCTCTGGATATAAGGTAAAAAAGTAAGGTGGAAGCAGAATCAGGTGACATAGGAAGAATACAGAAATGCTGCTTGCATCTTCAGTATTTATTAGAAAGGAAATCAACATAGGACACCAACCTCAATGGACAAGGCTTTGCTAATTCAATTATTCAGAAAACCATTTGCCTAAAAATGRCAGGACTTAAGGTACTGGGTAATTCGGGGACGTTTAGGTTGGATATCAGGGAACGGCTCTTCATCCAGAGGAGCTGGGCACTGGAATAGGCTCCCCAGGGAAATGGCACCAAGCCTTCATGAATTCAAGCAGTGTTTGGATAATTGTGTTGGGTATATAGTGTACTTCTTGCATTATCCCACAAAAGGATGAGAGATGATGATGCTGATGGGTCCCTTTTAACTTGGCATATTCTGTGATTCTATAAATTCTAAGGATTTAAATAAAGGATGACATTCTGGAGTGAAGAAAATTTGGCACAGCAGCTGGAAAAATTTATAATAAAAGAAAAAAAAAAMCATTATCAGGGTGTAGTAAAGTCTTCAGTTTGGAAATGTGTATGTGCTGTTTTGTTGTTGAATAACCCTAACAAATAACCAGAAATTCAAGTCACAGACTATACAAAACTCAGAAACACAGCATCTCGGCATCCAGACAGGTTAACCATATCATTTAAACAGAACTCTCTAGAAACAAAAATGCATATGATCCTATTTCCCATCAAGTCGGTCAAAAGTAATTTTTTAAAAGTCGTYAGGCAGGCAAAAACAACCAGACACCTAATGACACACTGAGAAAACATTCTGACACTCACCTTCTTAATAGCCACGATTTGGTTGTTCGTCTTGTCCTTGGCTTTATAGACGGTGGCGAACTAGGGACAGAGAGAGATGCTCCGTGAGCAGGGGCTGACGGGCCATGCGACGGAGAGGCCGCCAAGCCCTCCTCAGGCCCGGGGTGGGCACCCTGATCATCCCCCGCCCCGCTTCACCAGGCGACACGGGCCGGGCCCAGASGGGTTGCTGCAGCCCCAGGGCCGCGGGCGCTCACCTGTCCCTCCCCAAGGAAGTCGAGCTTCTCGTAGCGCTTGGCGCGGGCCCGCGCATCCATAGCCGGCGGTGAGCGGCGGGAGCGGGAGCAGCCCCGGCCCGGCTCGGCCCGGCCCTTCACCGCCGCGGCCCCGCCGCTTCCGGCCCCGCCCCGCCCGGCCCTGCGCACGCGCCCTGCTCCCCAGCATCGGCGCGCCGCTCGAGGCTGCTGCGGCATCGTCTCTGTCCCCATCTGCTGAAAAGGGCAACTGTATCCCAGAAGCTSTTTCTGTTTTGACCCCAAACTCAGGTCTGATGTTCGGGGAAAATTMTGCATACTCTGCCTAGAGTGCTCTCAGCCACTTCGTTGTGTTCTACTGGACATGCTTCATTTTACTTCTGTAGGTTTCTTTATGATGAACAATTACCTACAATATACTATTTAAAACTACTATTTAACAGCCATCAGAGATAAATACTTCCACAGAAATTCTCACTTGAAAATTAAATTTCTCTACATGTCCAAGCKTTGCATTACTGACTAAATTAGTCTGTAAAACCCATGAAGCTGTGTGAACAACAGCCATCATCTCTAAAAGCACTTCAGTGTCCCTTTCCTACCTGTAAAATTATCCCCAACAAGACACCCTGTTAAGTCAGCCTTACCTCAATCCCTGGAAAGTGATGGAGTGCCTCAAAMTGGAGGCCATCTCTATGTGGACGACAAGAATTTGATCAGGAATAGTATCACGACTTCACTAAAGCTAAGTCATGCTTGACCAACGCCACTGCCTTCTATAATGAAACTGCTACCTGGATGGATGAGGGCAGAGTAGTGGATATTGTCTACTAGCAGGGATTTTCAACACTGTTTCTCACAACATCCTCATAGACAAACTCATGGATGTGTGGACAGTGAGGTGGATTGAGACCTAGGTAAATATCAGATCCCAGAAGGGCACAGGGTCTACTTGGAGGCCTGTCACTGGTGGTGGCCCCCAAGGTTCAATGCTGCCTGTTTAATTTATTCATCCATCACTTGGAGGAAGGGGCAGATGCCAGCTCAGCAAATTCAAAGGACACCAAGCGGGGAGGAGTGGCTGATCCTGGAGTGCTGAGCAGCTCTTCAGAAGGACCTTGACAGCCTGGAGATGGAAAACTCTCAGAAATTCAACAAAGGCAAATGCAGGGTCCTTTACCTGCAGAAGAACAACCCCAGGTACCAGCACAGGCTGGGCCTGACCTGCTGAGGAGCAGCTCTGCAGAGAAGGATCTGGGGGTCCTGAGGGACAGCAAACTGTCCMTGAGCCAGCAGAGTGTCCTGGTRGCCAAGAAGGCCAATGGWGTCCTGGGGGGCATTAGGAAGAGCATTCCAGCAGGTCATGGAAGGTGATCCTGCCCCTCCACTCAGCCCTGGTGAGGCCTCACCTGGAGTGCCATGTCCAGTTCTGGGCTCCTCAGGACAAGAGAGTCATGGAGCTCCTGGAGTGGGTCCAACAGAGGGCAACAAATATTATGAGGGGTCTGGAGCACCTCTCTTATGATGAAAGCTTGAGGGAGCTGGGTGTGTTGAGCCTCAAAGAAATAMAATAGAGAGGGAGGGGACCTCATCAATGTATACAAATATCTTAGGAGAAATTGCCAAGAGGATGGAGCAGGCTCTTCTRARCTCTTGCTGAATAATAGGTCAAGATAGAATGGGCAGAAGTGGATGCACAGGAACATGAGGAGGAACTTCTTTACTGTGCAGGTGACCGTGCCCTGGAACAGATTCCAGAACAGAGGGGTTGTGGAGTCTGCCTCACTGGAGATGCTCAAGCACCATCTGGACACAATCCTGTGTCATATGCTCGAGGATGACCCTGCTTGAGTAGGAAGGTTGGACAAGATGACCCACTGTGGTTCCTTCCAACCTGTGATTTTGTGATCAATCTCAGTAGAAAAAAGAAATGACTCTGTTAGATTGTTGACTTTTCAAATGGCTAATTAGAAAAATATTTTAATGTAGCAGACATCATATATATATTGAATTGCATTAGCCATCAATATAAAATCCTTCTCGGTCACAAATCAGTGCCTTGTGTGTTGTGTCAACCTTCTCACCCATCACATGGGATTTTATTAAAGCTGTTAGTATACAATAATTTTTAATATTAAGGAAACGCCTTTATTGTGAATATAATACTTCATTCTTCAACATGGGCCAAACTATCTTCTATGCCTATTCTGGACCTCCACGCTGTAAAAGAAAAGCATACAGTTAAATATATTCCACAAATAGAATGTAAAACTGAGATAAAATTCTCTTTTGTTTGCACTGTTACAGACTCAGACGTAGTTCTAGTTTTAATTTCTGATTTAAATATTGATGTTTTTATCTATATAAAAAGAGGCACAGAGTGTCAAGTATCAGCATCTACCAGAAATGGATTTTCAAGGGAGAGAATACGAAAGAATCAACACATACAACCTAAAGTTACACCTGATTTCACATCTTTCTCTGAAGAAACCAGACTTTTAACCTTAAAGATGCCCAACAAACACKATGTGAGCAAACACAAGTTTTAAAATTATTTGCACTGCCCACATTCCAAAGTGCAAACTAAAAACAAAGCCAAGTGGAGTCATTACAGTATTTATGAAAAATCAAAATGGTATTCAGTTCATTATTTTCCCAACAAAATGATTTACAACTTACCTCACTGTTAAGTAAACTTATTCAAAATATCAAGAAGTATATGCTATGGGAAATAACTGATTTTATTTCTACCACATAGACGCAGCCTACCTACATATGAAGGAAAACTGATTTAATCTACAAACATGGTTACACTGCACCTGTCCTTATCATTTAACAAAGTTTTGCAAGAATCTTTTTAATTCAAACTCACAATCACCGCAAATTCCTCACATTTTGTGTATTCTCCCTTTTGAATCATCAGATTTTACAACTGAGAATTGTTACAGAACAGAAGCAGGTTTTTCTTGCCTTTCATATACAATGTCCTATTTGCAAGCATTGCAGAAAATATTTATATCAAGTTTAATAATAAGTTTCCACTACTACAAATACAAGAGTTAACTAACTAATAACTAACTTATAAAACAAGTTTGAGAATATTTTGGACTTCGATCACCCAGTAATAGCCTTTCCTGATCTAAGAACAGATTTCTGTGCTTCTATTAAGCACAGTCAAATTACACATTAAATAGCTGTTATAAAACAGGTAGTGGTGGTGATTAATGTAGGCTGTGACTATTGCCAGCTTACCTGCATGTCTGTTCTAAGTCCAAATTGCGCTACTTGGTGGTAGCACAAGCTGCTAACCAGCGAGAGTTGGGTACCCTCTGTATTAAGAATTTGTACCTTGGATATTGTGTATCAAAACCATGAAAGCCCAGAGCACACACTCACCAAGAATACAGTATTATACAAGAAAGTGTAGAAATAAACTAAAGAAGACAACTTACTTGAATATATTCAATCTCTTCATCTGACATTGGTTTCCTTCTGTATTTCTGAGGTAAGCTTCTGGTTAATTCAGAAGTGTCTGGTGTACCTTGTACTCTACTACCAGGTGAAACATTCTGAAACGCTGCTGATATGCCTCCTACAGATTGCTGTACTTTTGAAGCAAGGACAGATGGCATGCTTGCTTGTAGAGATTCCTGTACTGAAATGCAGATTTCAAAGTCATTTACAGAAATATTACTAGACTGTAAAATTAATAAGCAGCTCATAAAACCTACCACTGCTTGAAAATCTTATTCATTACAACAAATACACAAAAGATTAAAACACTCTATTTTTCACAACCTGCTTTTATTGTTGTTAAATGTATCAAGTGCAGAATCTAAAAATTCTGACAGTGGAATAAAGCATATTTGAGTGACAGAAATGCTGATATAGAGACAGAAAACATATCAGCCTATACCCYAACAGTGGCTTTTTCACTGGGAAGCTGTACTTGAAGAAAAAGCATAAAGTTCTGTAAATGTTTGTGTGTGGGCAATTATGTAGAAAGGTAACTGAGATGATGCTTTCCTTTTACTGCAACTGTAAGGACAGAGCTAGGGGCTTATAGAAGGGTAAAGCTCAGAACCACAACAGACCATAACATGCAATGCAGGGCTGTACTCATTTTTAGAATTACAAAATGGCACCCTATCACATTTTAATGATGTGCAAAATAAACCACCAAGAATTGGGCATCAATGATCAATGTTAATGAAATGCAGAGACTAAGGAATGCATGAAGTTCTCTGCAGGTGAGGACCAGGCGCTAAGCTTTAGGAATTCACATCAGAGAAGTTGCCCTGATTGTGCAGACAGGGCACAGCCAGCATTCCAAACCTTAGGTCTGTCCCACYATGGCTGATTTTACAATGGAAATACACCATTATCCTGCCAGATAGGACAGAGATCACAGCAATATGTTTATTTCAGTGCTCAGTCTAAGGCTAAAACACCTGACAAAGCAGAATACTTCCACAGAAGTCCTTCTCAGTGCCTCAGAAAAATGAGCATCTAAAAGCTGGACATCTAAAAGCATGAAGACTGCATGAATCAAAGCATGTGCGCAGCTAAAACACCAGTTTTGCCTGCCTCTGTCCTTCCTAGCTTCAACAAGACCAATGACCATTAAGTTTTAGCTTTAATGAGTCTGAGGCAGTTGCAGGATTGGGACATGAAACAYGTGCAGCATTGTGATCAAGCCACCACTGAGAGGCATATTCAGAAGCTGTCAGTTATTTCACTGTGTCTAAAAGTCCCAAGGTGGTTCAGAAATCATGGRTGATTCCAAACAAAGCAAGGCAGAAATAAGCTCATCAGAAGTAGAATATTCTGAACAGGGGAAGAAGTATTTTTGTTTCAAGAAAAAAAACATACCTTGTGAACCAAAAAAAAAAAAAAAAGCATTTTCTCCAAGTTTGTTCCATCTATGACAAAAAAAAGTCTGGAGATCTATCTAGGATCTCCCTCTACTCTRTGTTTCAGTCTGAAGTGTAGTTGGAGTTGGCTCATTAGCCAATTAAAAATATCACAAGTGCAGTAATTAGAAGAGCAGAYCTTTAACGGCTGCTGCTTTAGTTCTGATACAGTCTCTGCTACATCTCTCCCTTCCCTGCCTGAGACCATAAAGTTTTAGCAGTAATAGGACAGAAGCATTTGGCCRGCCTTTCACGTGCCTAGATGCTCTGAGGAACCATTTAGCTATCTAAAAGCAACAATATGGTTCATTTAAAAGCARTTTTTGCCACAGCAGTCAAGAAAGACAAAGTAGGTTGCAATTTACTAACAAGATGACAGATCAGGTCAGGTAGAAAAGTCTAATGTACTTAAAAGATACAGTCACRAAAACCTTGTGACACAGAGATAAACAAGAGGCAAGATACACATTTCCAAGCTTTTGAGAAAGTAGTTCACTGGCATGAGAGGTGACGCATTTGGCTGAACCATGCAAAATGTACAGAATTTTTACAGAAAGTTATTGCAGAAAATAGTTCTGAAGAGTTCATGGGTAAGTCAGAAGAGGCATTTACATGCACTGTGGAGACTTTCAAATGTTAAACTAAACTGCGATGTTGCAGGCTTGATAATGCTGTGGCAAATAAMATGGCATAGTATAATTTCTAAAGAAGTGAGAATAACAGAACACAGCTTTTAAAAACAACTCCTACTTTTATTTCAGATCCTTTGCTGACCCAGAAGGACTTCTAAACTAACACAGTGCTAATATAAATCGGGGGTTTAAATATAATAGTATCAGGAATACAATAAATATCAACATAGGTATAAACGTTAATGTCAAAGATTGCACTGACATTTTTTTTTTCCTCAGCATTAATCAGTAACAAAAGAAAATATTTCATAAAATGTACACAGGGCAGGCTCTCCCAGCTATAATAATGTTTTAAAAAACAGCACAAAATACATCACACTAAGAAAAAGCTAGGAAAATGCACATCATTTATGCAAATACCACTCAATACCTAAAGCTATTCAAACTGACTTGGGCACAATAATTTCAGTAAATATTAGTATTGGGAAAATGTGGCTTTCTATAAAAGCAGAAAAACAACACTGGAAATCCTTGTGAATCTTTCTTGAGCAAAAAAATAAACACATGCATGCGTTATATATGTATACACAGTTGTACAGAAAAGAAGTTGTAAAGAAAATATAAGAGTTGCCTTCAAACCAAATCAAGTATGTTTCAGAAGCCCTGCTCCAACTCAGTTCAGTTATGTACCTGAAATAGAGAAAACGGATGCTTGCTCTTTTATAAAAYAGTCCATATAAAGAAACGGGGTACAAGCTATGTCCATAAACAAAACACTTACTTTTAGGTCTGGGACCACTTTTTCTGTCTGGGAACTTAATTAATGGAGTATGTGGCTTGACTACCTAGAAGAAGACCAGGTAGTGGGAGAAACAAAGGTTACCTTCAAATAACAAAATGGAATGTACAACGTATCAACCAACCACTTGCTACAGCACTACTATGATATACTTAGTACTTCTTGAAGCTCCAAGTTTACCACAGGAAGAATTTTACTTTAGAAAGTAGTTCTGCATCCTGATGACCACATTAGGTACATGCTTTGTCTTCCTTTTCTCATCAGTGTATATGTGCAGAAACAGTCACTGCCATTGCATAACTGCAATCACATTGCAATCTGCTCTGGTGAGAACCCACCTGGAGTGTGGTGTCCAGCTCTGGGACCTCCAAAGCAAGCAGGATATGGACCTGCTGGAGTGAGTCCAGAAAAGGGCCAGAAAAATGATCAGAGGGCTGAAGAACCTCTCCTGTGAGGACAGGCTGCCTTTTTATTAGCCTGAAGAAGACTCTGGGGAGATCTTACAAGCCACAGAGGACAGGTTTGGATTAGAAAGATTATGAAGATTAGGAAGAAATGGTTTACTTCGAGGGTAATRAAGGAGGTTGCCCAGAGAATCTCTAGTTGCCCCATCCCTGGAAGTGTCCAAGGCCTGGTAGGAGGGCAGGGCTTTGGGACAGGGCTTTGAGCAACCTGGTCTAGTGAAGGTGCCGCTGCCTACGGCAGGGTGGCGTTGCAACTAGGTGACCTTTAAGGTCCCTTCCAATCCAWATGATCCTGYGGCTCCACAGCGCTTTAGTACACGGAATCGCGAYCTGTGCTCTGCCTATACCAAGTACTTTCACCATGGAGAGGCCCAGCCTAGGAAGGAGCTGCCGACCAGCTCCGCGCCCCCTGCTATCACAGTACCAGGCACCTACGACACCGCGCGCGCGCCACCGCATGCCCCTCCCCAAGGACACCGGCCGCCCCGGCGGCGTGTCCTCAAGCTGCAGCCCCCCTCCGCCTGCTGCTCAACGGCGGCAGCAGAGGCGAGCCCCGCCACCCGAGCCAGGGCTCCATCTGTCTCAGGTGCTGCTGTGCCGGGGCCGCTCTTACCTGCACCGTCCTGGTGGCAGCCGCCATCTTGCTACCCATGGTGACGAGCCTGAGGGGCATCGCCGAGCCCCGCCCACAGGCAGCGAGGCCCCGCCCACCAGGCAGCGAGGCCCCGCCCACCAGGCAGCGAGGCCCCGCCCACAGTGGGTAGCACCGGTGCCTCGCTCTCTATGGGCGGGGGGGCCCGGAGCTGTAGGCTGGCCCGCCGGATAAACCGCTTTGTGAAATAAAAAAACCTCCAAATCAAACAAAACATTTTCAGTAAAAACAGCACTTTTATTATTAGGTCAAGGCCTAAAAAAATAGCTGAAGTTAAAAGGAAAGATACATGCCAAGATAAAAAGAGACACTACACACTCCTGAAACATGCTACATCCCAGGAGTTAATTTCATATATCAAAGAAACAACAATTAATAAAAGCACAAATGCTAATGAAAATATGTAATTAAAACACTGCTTAGCTGCATAGTTGACAGTATGAAGTCACCTCTGCAGACAAGAGTAACTGCTACAAACAGCATAACATTTGTGGTATTTAAAATCATACACACTGCCTCAAAAATAATCCCAGCTGTAGACTGCCTGAGCTCCACAGCCCGCTGCTCCCCAGAAAAGGAGAGTCCACTTTTACATGAAACTTTTCTTGTGTTATTTTTGCCCTTCAGAGCAAGAGGAGCACTTGACACAGGACAGCTATGAAGTGAATCTTTCATAGTTTATCACACATATAGCAGAGTAGCTTCACTTCATCAGCTGCACTACCCAGTTCAAATGGTGTCTACCAGAAGAGAAGCATTTCAAAGAATTGCTTGGACAAATTCTGACTCTCTAGAGAGAACAAYGTCTTTCAGAAAGGTTAAATTTTAAAAGTCTTGAAGTGTGGTTTTAAGATACATATAATCTATCAAGTTTAGTTAAAATACATACATTATAAAATTAAACACTACTTCTCCCGACTCACTGAAGATAGACATTTTTTTCAAGCTGTAGAACAATTGCCTTTAAAGATGGATCTTCTGCCCAATTAACTCTGCTTCCAATTATGATGTTCTATAAATAAGAAAAATTTACAGGTTAAAACAAGACCTTGCAAAGGACATTTCATAGCCAAATATCTCAAAAAAAGTCTACTTTTTAATGTTTAATTTTAAAATCTTGAAATTCACAAGTGTTTAAAGTAGGCAGGATGGGAGGAAAAAGGAGAAAGAAGTATTGGTTTAGATACTATTGTTGATACATAGGCAAAAAACCCCCACCAACTCTATGCTTTTTAATTTCCTAAAGGGGCTTGCATATTACTCCTATTTTAAACACAGAAACCTAGCAAATGATTTTAACAAGAAATAAAGTTTGCGTCAAACACAAAATTACACAGTTAACATTTTCACCCTGCCATTCAGTATTGAAAATGGGAATTTAAATTTAACCAGAGGATTTGCTCTACTTAGAGCTCAGAAAATTTCAGGAATACAAAACCAGSAGATAGTTCTAGACTATCATCTAAACCCCAGTAAAATATTAAATTTCTCCATCTCAATTTGAGATGTAAAAATGTTATCAATGAGAAATAGTAGATGTCATAGCATGCAGCACAAAAAGAACACTTTTTCTGTCCTTGTCATTCTTATGCAGCCTGAGACCCTTCCACCCTAACCCAATCCATGGGGTGTTTTGCATCACTCCACACTCCAGGTGACCTGACAGCCAGTTGCATGGATACAGATTAGTCAGCAGCCCCTGACACATGGGTGTGAAGGCTATGCTGCTGAAAGGATTTGGAGATTKGCTGTGGCTACAGACCAAGGCTTTCATAGGGCTGTAGAGGCTGATACAGAGAAATCATGTAGTCAGAAGGGGCAGATAGAGACTCACTGGTAACATGGGATTAACACCTATCTTTTCACATAGTATGTAATCTCAAGTGTAATGAAAAATTGCAAATTGGTTCTGAAAGTCATAAAACATTACCTGGAACACATTTTGAATTATTGCAGTCATGTCTCTTTCTTTTTTAAATTTATCAAACATCTTTGTTTCAGTGACTTTCACACTTGCTTGTTTCTCCTTTTGCCTTTTCATCATAGTCTGAATTTGCTGTAGTTTCTGTTCTCCATCTTTTTTTAATGCTGTTACATTATTAGGAAAATGAAGCATTAAGAAATAGTTAGGTGGAACAGTAGAACTGAAGATAYTCTTTTTTCTTCGCAGCCACCTAAAGAACTTTCATTGCAATAACCCTAACCCGACACTCCACTCCTTCCCTCAAATGTACCTCAAGATATTTCTTTCATGAAAGAGGCAACACATGCTGTGGCTACCTGGTATCAAACTACAACTGGCTCCCTGGCTGATAGCGAAACTTGTCCACATTTCTCTCAGATGGGGATTGTAGTTTGCACATCTGTCCTATATCCTGATTTCAAGCAGCACAACTTTTATAGGACTTTTTTATACGTCTTTAAGATGCTTGCTCCTTTTTCAGATTTCACTGAAACCAAATTCCAAAGTCATATAAGGAGCATATGGGCATTACCATTGAATATTACTATTTTTATAGGAAACCAGGCTATAAACTAGATCACTATTAAAAGTGTTTAGGGACAGTCCATACATTGAAAAAATGCTGACAGAACATTCCTTCCTTTATTTGCAAAGATATGAAGTACGTTCATTTTTCCCATGCAAACAGTTATTTCATTGTATTTGTTCAGTASTGTCAACATACACACAACTCCCTATGTGTGAATCAAACARTAGCTCTTAAAATTGGTGGCAAACCTGGTCATAAAAGGAGCATTCAAAAAACGCATTTACCTCATGAAGTTCTGAATATTGGCTTCATATCTAAATTTGACCCAGACTATGGAATGCTAATATATATGCACACTTCTTTGTAAATAAATCCCCTCCCTATTCTGCACACACCTCATGAACGTGCATACCATAAAAATAGTACCTTTTAGGTGCTGTAGGGCTGATTTAAATTCCTAAACGATGTGTAATGCTTTCTGGGGAACTTAGATTAAATAATAAAATGCTGCCTCATTGTTTCTGAGTGTTGTGTCATTCTCATTCTAGCGTGTCAGCCTCACGTTCACGTAGGGAACACATCAGCTCATCTCTACAGTACTTTCAATAAGTTGAGAGTTCTGTTACTTCCCACGTAAATTAATTCTGCTACAAGAATAACTTCAGACTACATGAATTCTACATTAAAATTATAAGTCAATACAGATAACACACTTACAGAGTCTTTTCCTTTTAATGTCAATAAACTGCTGTTCCTTCTGTTGTACTTGCTGAAAGGAAAAAAAAAGTATTTCCTAGACTCCTGTCTCCAAAAATACTGAAAAGTGCTAATTCAATCCACAAAAGCAGATAAGGGCAACTCTAAAACAGACTTATTTACATATTCACTTTAAGTAATCCTCTCAACATTTTTGACAGCAGTAGGAACTGCACCCTTATCACCACATATTTAGCTTCAACTCACTTGTGCAGTCCTGTTGCTTTCAAAGTGTAYTCCTGCCCATGCTGAGGCTGGTTGACCTGAGCAACAGCAACAGAAACTACAACTGCCACTTACCTCCTGATATTTAATTATCGTCTGGCTGAGTAGTACTATGCGTTTCGCAGTTTCCAGGATCAGACTAAGGAAGAAAATAGTTACATACCTTAAGATCACTAATATGAGTCAACATCATAAGCATTTTAATCAACTTAATTTGGTTAAATAAAAAATTTCTCATTTCTCATCACAGCAAAATATTACATGCCTGCACAGTTTTTTTTTTTTTTACAGTTAATACACTAAGTATCACTAYAGAGTCCAAAGATTCTCTTACTTCCTCTCAATTTCCCTAAGATTTAAGTCTGTCCAACATTTTAAATCACAGTTTGGAAGGCATTAAGAAAGCCTAGACATCTGGAAATGGCTATGAATGAAAGTTTCCTAAATCATGGAGATGCAATCCCTTAGATGCATTTCTGACAGAATTTAAATTTCTCATATTACACTTCATATGCATGCACCTGTTCATATTGGGTAGGAAACCAAAAGCTAATTTTAAACATGTTTAAGCTTTCAGTTCTTTTGCAAAGGCATTTTGCTTCTACATGATTAATTAATAAAGGCAGCAGAGCAGAGGCAAGGCCCTTTTACATATATGTAATATATGCTCAGATATTTTAAATGCAGGTAATTCAGACACAAAAGACAAAAAAGCTCTCTTGGTAACAAGCAGTTCTCACTAGTGAATCAAGAGTTATGATCTCTGTAATCAAAGGTGGGTAAATTCAGAGCCCAACTGTAAATCTACTGTGGGCATATGAGGTCTGATCATGCAGATTCTAGCCAGAAGGTAGACACTGTATCACTGTCAAATCCAGAAAAAGGAAGCTTGCTTTCACAAGATGTAAAATGAGATAATCTAGAAATGTGCCATGATAAGCTGTGCAAAGTCCATTCTTTTCTAGCCATTTGATCCCCAATAACACCTTACCGTGAGTCCTCATCATCAACATGCTTCAGTTTGTTTCTCAGGGCATCCATAATCTGGATCCTGCATAGTGTAAGAAATAACATATGACCGATGAGAACTCGTAAGAAAATGAGAGCAGGAAACAGAGAGAAGATTTAAATAAGTAACCGAAAAAGATAATTGCCAGGATTCCACTTTGTCCACTTTCACAATGGAATTACATAAACAAAATACTCAGTACCTTTTAACTATCACACGCATTAAATAACAGAGATAACTCTCAGAAAGAAAGAAGTATCAATGATTATTTATGAGGGTGACAACTTTTTTCTCTTAACCAACATATTTAGACACCATTAATCCCAGAGGCTGCAGAAAGGAAGCTAGGCAAATGCAGTTCGTTCAAATGAACAACTGTGTAACACACAGGATATCTAACATAATCAACTTCCATTTTTTCATATGCATTTGGAAAATACTGCCACGAAATATGCTTACTGATCTGTACAGTCAGACTTTCACAATTGTGAAGGAACTTTTGGGTTTAGACATTTCAACTGGTTAAGTTTTCAGTTTTGCTTTTTTCAGCATATCTGTCTGCATTCCTATGGTTCAATGGTACTTAAAATCTCCTCAAGCTCCCATACCACCTTAAAATCTTGTTTTAATCAGACCTATATATATATATACACATCTATGTATGAACACAGACAGAGGAAACCTGCAAATAAAGACTTAATAAAATTCTACCTCTGCAAGGCCAATATCTTGTTCTGGAAAGCGACTTTTACTTCCTCCATAACTCTTTGCAAATCCTGTGCGGCACTGAAAGACAAAAAGCAACCAGACAGACAACCTGGGTGTGAAGATAACAAAGTTTAAAAGCAGTGTCACATTTTAACTTGCTTTCTACATACCTAATGTAAGAATTTTTAACGTGAGCCACAAATTACTAGGGCCAGGAGTAATTTAGTGTATACGTGAACTCTAGCCTTCACATAAAGGATTGCAAATTTAGAAGTGTACTGAAGTGTACACTTTAGAAGATACTGAAGTGTATTAGGAGAATGAATAAAGCATTYCTTTCCCATATTTTATCTTAGTTTCCATTATTTTCACCAACTTCTCCAAAGTACTGATTATCAATCCAGCAATTCACTAAGAAGGAATCGTTAGAAGAGAATTTTGAAGTTATCCAGTGACATACCTCTGAAAGTAATTTTCTTCAATTACGTGATCAGGGAGACTATCTTGACCTGCAAAAGAGAACACCACTAAAAAAAGCACAGCAGACTTTTAAATACAATATATAAAACATATAAGATCAGTATTTTTTGTGTGAATAAGTTATTTCTTACTTCTACCTCCAAGCTTTATTATCTTTTACTGTTAATGAGACTACACTACACTACATCCATCAGCTCTACCAGAAATATTTAAAATATTTTAATTTATCACTTTTTAGATGAGCTAAAACTGGTTCACAAAATCGCTCTAAATATGCCACTGGATGTTTTAGTGGAAATGCATGCACCCAATTGGATCCTGGGCTGTATCAGAAATGTGGCCAGCAGGTCAAGAGATGTGATTCTGCCCCCCGCCCGTCTTGGCAGACACCAGTGTGCTGCATTCACGCCTGGGATTCCCAACAAAAGGAGAACATGGTCCAGATGAGAGCAATGAAGATGATCAGAAGGCTGGAGCAGCTCTCCTACGAGGAAAGACTGAGAAAGGTGTTGTTCAGCTTGGCAAAAGTTGCGTGGTAACCTTACTCACACAAGTCCCTCCAGTCCCTGAAGGGAGTTTGCGAGAGAGCTAGAGAAGAACTTTTTACCAGGGCATGTAGTGACAGGACAAGGGGGAATGGCTTTAAATTGMAACAGCGCAGGCTTAGATTAGATATGCTGCGGGGTGGTGAGGTATGGTGAGGCACTGGCAGAGACTGCCCCGAGAAGCTGTGGAATCCTCATTCCTAGAAGTGCTCAAGACCAAGTTGTCAGGTTGSACGGAGGTCTGAGCAACACAGTCTAGTGGAAGGTGTCCCTGCCCGTGGTGGKGGGGTTTGGAATCAGATGTCTTTAACATCCCTTACAACCCAAATCATCTAATGACTCCACAGATAATGCGAAGACCTTAAATCTGTGTTGCTGCCAAACACTTTGGCAGACKTTTGGCAAGACTTCAGCCCCAGAGACCAGATTTCTGAAAACCATTACAACATGTAAGAAGAGTCTAAAGTTAAAACCTATGAAAGAAGTGTAAGGGCAGTGGGCAACAACTATATGCCGTCTTTGTAAACATTCAAACACGTCTCCAATGCTGCCAGAAAACTAGGTAAAAAGTGCAGCCAAGAAAAGCATTTCATTATTGTAAGGAGCACTCATATATATAAATATATATATATATATGCGCCACGTCGCATTCTTTGTTGGTGCAACATCCTCTGGGAGGAGGGATGTACTTACCGTCATGAATGGCCGCCCTGTACTCCACGAGTTTTTCCTTCATTCGGTCTCTCAGGCTGCGGCGGGTGTAAAGCGACAACGGTCAGACGCTGCCTACCGTTCCAACCCACCCATGCGCTGCTGCGCGTCCCGTCCCGCCGCCACTAACCGGAGCACAGTGAGGACATCCACGTCCTCACAGCCCTGGGGCAGCGCCGGGCCCGGGCCCGGGGCCGGGGTTGGTGCCGGGGCCGNGCCCGGGCCCGGGGCCGGGGCCGGGGCGGGTGCCGGGGCCGGTGTCGGGGCCGGGGTTGGTGCCGGGGCCGGGATTGGTGCCGGGGCCGGGATTGGTGCCGGGGCCGGAGCCGGAGCCAGGGCCAGGGTTGAGGTCCGGGCCGGGGCCCGCCGCAGCTCGCAGGTCAGCGTCGCCATCGCCGCGCCTTCAAACCCCGCGGCTCCCGGCGGCCCGCGCGCCCCGCGCCTGCGCAGAGCAGCGGCGTGCCCCCCCCCCCCCCCCGGCTTGAGGGCCGTACCGCGGCCGTGGTTGAGTACCTCAAGTATCATAGCCACTCATTTTTTTGAACATGCCCATGGATGGGGGCTGCCACACAACTCTGGGCAGCTTGTTCCAATGTCTGACAACCTTGGACAGCGGCTGTAATTGTCTAAGGGACGGTAGAGTTCAGCTCCACCAGCCAATGTCCTCCTGGAATCCTCAATACTTTCCTCTTTAAGCTCTGGCACCAGGCTGAGAGGATCATTCACCTCACACAGCTGTTTTCTCTCCTGCCCCACAAGTCTAAGCTGGCAGACACTCCACCACCACAGCGGCAGAGCCCATGCCAATAGTCCATATAGCACCCCAGGGGACCAGCCACAGCACCTGAGCTGGCCCCAGAGCTCACCCAAACTCTCAGCACTGGTCACAGCCTCCAGGAAGATGCCTCAGCTATAGGAGATAGGTAACTGACCCCTTCCCCACCCCGCCCCCCCCCGAAAAAAAAGGACAAACAAGAATAACTGCTTTAATATATTAACACAAATAGGATACTTTGTATATACAGTGAGCCGGATTCTGCATGAGGTCACACAGGAGTTACATTTTTTTAACCAGAGGCTTAGCTAGATCCCAGATAATAGGAGAGTACAACTTYTCAGTGGTGCTTATCTTGCTGTTAGCAGCGGTGGCATATTTCTCCATGATTGCCTGCCAAGAAATAAGGTTGATTATCTTTACCCTATTTATGAACTAACACTGTTTCAGCTCACTTAAGSCTTGGTGGTCAAAGCAAGCCCATCCTTATGCAAAAACCCAGTTTATGGATGGCTCAGACCATCTGAGCAAGATAAAGATCTTCAGCTCAGAAGTGAGCAGATTTTTTTCAAGTCTGTCTGCAGTGGTTGGACCAAACCAGYGCCACTGTGCCATGTATTAACACATAACCACCCCCACCCCTGCACCCTAAGATTCTTACCTTCTGCTTGGCATCATACTTCTGCACAGCAATTACATTCTTTGCCACATGCTGCATAACTGGGAGAATTTCACTCTCAGTGTAAAATGTGTACTGTTGCAGAAATGGTAACTGAAAGGAAGGGAATCCATTAGATAAGGCTATTAGAATAATACAAGTACACTTAGTTCTTAGTCTTCAGTTTTGCTTGAATAATTGTGGTCTCTTGTCTCACAGTGGGAGGTTTTAACTGGTACTGACCAACTGCTGCCCCTTTTTAGAGGACCACAGGGAGACAAGAACATGGTGAAATAATCATGACAAATGGAGGAGGCATGCACCTTATAGAAGTGGCYTTTTAACCTGGTGCCCAGGCACACTGAGTCACAAAGTAGGAAGTGGTCTGACAAGTACAACTTACCAACTTGTGTCCTTTGAGGAGTTTCAGAGACAAGCAGAAGGCAGCTGCTGCAATCCTGGATGGTGGGAAGTGAACCATATCATAATCCACAATGCACAGCTCCATCAGGTAATTGGCCATAGTGCATTGTTCAGAGTTCACCTGTAGTAAGTCAGAGTTGAATATTGGCTATCTCCAAGGTAAGAACATTCTGTCAAGCCTTGGTTTAGTTAAGCAGGAAGAAATACTTCCTTAGAGAATACTTTCAGAGCTACAGGGTTGAAATTCAAGTGGCTTAATCACATAGCAATCCTGTGGTAAACTAGGCAGCTCATAGTCCAGGAYCACCCCTTTCAATGGCGGTCTAACAGTTACCTGAAATACCAGGCATGCATTTTAACACTGAATTTTGGCAAGTTAGGTTTATCTCACAAGAACAGATAGATAAAACCCATTTCTCCATGGGCTCAGTCGCGTACTCAAAAATCTTGAGCCATTTTAACGAACTGCCACAGTTAAGTATTGCCTTTTCCAGATGCAGTTTGCAGTAATAACTATTATTAACACTACCTCTGCAATCTTTGAAGCTCTTTTTAGGAAGTGTGGAGGCAGAGGACAACCCAGAAAGAAGTCCAGGGCTTTCAGGATCTTCCTCTCCATCTGGATAATATCGGCTTTGGAGAAAGTCTGATCAGTTATACAGCTAAAGTCTCCAATACATGGCACAACAATCTCTTCATATTTGCTGGCAATGTATAGAGCTGTGACACCAAGCAGCTGCAGATCTGTCTTGGAAATAACATTGTCCTGTAGCAAGAAGCAGCAGAGATTTACCTGAATGACTTGGCTCAGAACAAGGTTTTCAAGGTAGTCAGCGTAAGGTTTTTTCTAGGGCAGGATGTTCACACCCACTTATAAAAAATAACTATACCTCCTGTTACCTCTATTGRCACCTGCAGGGGTGGTAGAAGGCCTTGAATTTAAATCAGGGAGAGGAGACAGCAGTTTTGATACATCAACTCAATGTTTTAGCCAAGAGCTTTGTGTGGTACATACAGTTGAGATTCCAATGTAATTTGTTGTTCAGCAGTATTTTGTTAAGGGTACATCGAACCATGCAGGGTGGTACTTATCAAGATTCATGCTTTAGCCTAGGGGCAAAGCATTGCCTGSCACTAGATGAGAGACACTCACCTGCAGGAAGCGATCGATGATGGAAACTGTCAAGAACAAGGTCTCTTGCTGGAACTTGAAAAACATGTGAGTTTGGACAAGCCAGTCTACTAGTACGGCACGCATGTCCCCACTGATTTCCYGTCCAGCCAGGTACTGGTATCTGACAGGTCGATTTTCCTGTGTGGAAGGAATAGGGTTAATAGATGTAGTCACTCAGGTGAAGCATTTGCAAAGGCTAGCCTCTATGGTATTGTAAGGTATAAGCCTTAGAATCATAGAATCATCTAAGATTAGAAAAGGCCTACAAGATCAAGTCCAGCCTATGAATGAATAACACCAACTGACATGTCCAGTCATTTCTTGAGCACTTCCAGAGAATGACTTTACCACTTCCCTGGGCAGCTCATTCCAATGCCTGACCACCCTTTCAGTAAAGAAATTCTTCCTGTTGTCCAACCTGAACCTTCCTTGGCACAGTTTGTGGCCATTTCCTCTTGTCCTGTCTTTATCCTTATGAGGGAGTTTGGTACAGACATAGACCTTAGGTGTAGACCACAGAGCACGAGGTTTCATGGCTCATGAGACATGGGCTACAAAGAACGCAGTACTCATACTAATAATTGATTGGTCTAACAACCAGAGTTCAATCCTGTATTTTAAGGCTGAAGGAGACTTACTAATGACTCTGGAGAAATCATGGGTGCAAGTGAATATCAACTCCGAGGCAAGCCATGCCTACAAGGACTGGTTAACTGCAAATGTCAGTAGATGTCTACCAACCTCCATGCATCTCAGATACTTGTAGATGTCCTTCATATAGCTGCTGCACTGGTTTGGGTCACTACTACCTTCCATATCTTGGTCATCAGACTGAAGGTGGACTTCAGAAAAAGCCTGACACAGCATGCCTGCTGTTGGAACAGATTCACATCTTTCCACGGGCATTGGAGACCGATGCTCTGACTACAAAGAAATTCAGAAAATCACTGCAGACAGCACCTCCCTCCACAGGTCAGTGTGGGCCAAGGTGCAGCCCTGCAGCACGGAGCACTGCAGGGGCTCATGACACCTATTTCAGGGCACCAAACGAGGGCACAATTCTGCTGCAGTGGCAGCCAAGCCCTGGGTTGGGGAAGGGGCACACAATATAAGGAGGCTGCAGGCGGTACCTGGGACGGCTCTGGCTGGATATTCGGGGCTGGAGGAGGCACGTTTTCTTTGGCGGCAAGCCTCATTATGCTCTTGGTGACCACTCTCTCCGTGGGGCCGTTCTTGACACTCGGGTGCCCGTGGTCCGCCTCCAACGCCGACTTCTTGGCGGCTGGCCGCACTTTCGGACGAGACACGCAGTTGCCGATGTCCCCCAGGGCGGCACGGGAACGCGACCCCATCGTGACGTCGGCCACCCTCTTATAGTTGAGGATGACGACCGTCCTCCTTATACGCGAGGCTGGGGAGCGGGGCTGCAGGGGAGGACGAGAGAACGTCGGTCAGCGGGACCGCGGGTATGGGTGTGCGGGCAGGCTGCACTGCCGCGCCCTCGRGTCGTGGGGATCGGGGCAGCGCTGCAGGTACCATCGCACGGCTCCGGAGCCGAAGGACTGTAGATGCGGAGCTAAGCGGCTTTACAGCTGCTGCACTTCGCACTGGAGAGCTGAGGGGCAGGCGAGCGTGGCAACTAATGGGCTTCCTACGAGAAGGCGAAACGGACACTCACTGCCCTCCCTGCCCGGCAAAGGCCGGGCTGTCCCCGAGCTGTACCCCACACTGCCCGCCAAGCTGAATTGAGGGGGAGAGCAGGACACGAACGGCCGCGCGGCTGCCTCCCCCCGTCACAGCGACACCCCTCTCCGCAMCCCCGCGCCGAGCCCCATCGCGCACGTACCTGAATGACACGGCTCTACATGATTGCAGACGTWCGGGACACGGGACGGGCGCCGCGCATTTAAAGCATCCCGCCGCCGCCGCTGAGGCCGCCCCCATCCCCTATTGGCCGCCGCCGCCCCGCCCCATGCGCAGCCGCGGCCGCCAGCGGGCGCTCTCGCCCGCGAAAGTCGGCCTCTGCTTGCACGCCTATGGCTTCTGTGACGAGGAAAGCCAAGGTGCAGGACGTAAAATATTACGGCAAAAACCACTATCTTCTGCCTCCTTACGTACACACGTACTGCTCGCTCGGAGTTCGTTTCAAACCTGTTTAATCGTTTAAAGTGTTTTGTTGCAACTACCTGAATACAGATCGGGTACTAGATTGAACCTTCTCATGCCCTTCCAGTATTAAGATATGAATCAACTGGCCTGTACCTGTGATTTGGAAACCTGCCCATACAGCACCTTTCCAATAGATCTTGTGAGGAATCCAGWACCCTTCTTTGGAGGACTATTGCCAGGTAAACAAATTTAAGACAGATGTTATGAAACAGACAATGCTTATTGCCACTGTCTTCCAGACAGGTGATCCAGGAAGAACAATGCATGTGTGCTGGGTAACATGCAAAAACTTGCCAAATGCAAGCCAGGTATATGCTCATCTTCACTGCTATGATCACAGAACCAGCCACCTTGATTTGTTTTGGGTTCTGCTGCTAGCAGCTGAAGCAGGAAATCRCCATTTGCTCAGAGGAAGCTGTGGCAAGCACAAAAGCTTTATAGCTATGTTAATGACTTCAGAGACAGAATCTCCCCCCTCTTCATCATCTTCATTTCATGTCACAGTGGAGTTTGGTGAAATACTGTGAAGTCTAGTACAATCACCTCAAAGCAGGAGTGGCACTTGTAAACATTACCTGAAGCTTTTTGTTTTTCAAAACCAAAATATCATCCTATTTGTAGACTGTGCATATGGTAGTTCATCAAGTGATGAACCTTCTGGAGGAGGCAAGATGAGGAATACTACCACATGTGTAAAAGGGCAGAAAACAGGATCCAGCTTTGAGTGACTGACCCTCCCCAGCAGAGTCCTGAGACACTGTGGAACTGTGATTTATGCATGCAATTTTTATCACTCTACACAAACGCAATGCAACTTCTAGAAATTTTCTGACCAGAATTTTACAAATCAGTCTTATACTGCAGACAGTGTTTTAACAGCAAGGTAGGAACCCCTTCAAAACAAACCATGCAATTTGYATAAACAATCTGATGAGAAGAGAAACAGAATGGCTCATGGACTTCCCTTACTGCATTCCTGGTAAATCTGCTCTGATTATATAATTATTTTATCACTCTGTTCTGTCCTTCAATTTCACTATTCTTATTCTATTCTTATTACAATGGTATTCAAAAAAAACTGAGTATCAGAAACAAAAAAAATCTGTATGACAAAATAATACAGCCCTGATACATGGGATGATGGAAGATATATTYACACTTGTTATATTAACATGCTACAGACAGGCAAAAGAGGCCTGTAAACAGACATGTTTTCTTTGCAGTATTAAGTACTCAACATTCATAATTCTGTCTTAAAGATCCTCTTTCACTTTCCAGTCAAAAAGTCTCAACTCATTTCAGCAACTTGTCAAGTCCAAGAGTACTATCACAGTTTAGCATTCTAAATCTGAATGTCTTCCTTGACTAATACCTAGAGGTAGAGTTGGCTACAGTACACCTGCAGCTGTGTCATGTTATTACTATAAAAAACAAGTACAGGACAACATATCTTGAAGATGTGAAGTTTAGCTGAGTGATAGAATGCTCACTAATTTATTACTTCTGGACCTCAAATATTGCATTTGCAGTTATTCATACAAAAAGTACAAAATATTTATTTTACAGAGTGGTTTGAGTTACAATTCTGAATCTTCCCAGGAAAGAGAAAAGTGTCTTCACATTTTCCCCCTTCCCTATTTCTCACTGTTAAATCTGTGGATTTATCTTCTTTAAAAAAAAAGTTGGTATCAATGTAAAATGGTAATGTGTATTTGCTCTGCTGTATTAAGTGTAAAAATCAGACTGGTGTGCTGAGACATAACAAAAAACTGTGTATTTACATTATCTAATGAAGTATGCAAAACACAGGACTCCATGTTTTTTACTCCCCATAATAAACCTTTTTTTCATTTCAAGAATCTTCAAGCTATCCTTGAAAGAAAGAATAGTATTTTCCTGTTGATTATGTTTGCATTTCAATATAATCTATTTCCCGCTGCTAAAAAGAAATTACAATACAGAACTTCCACACTTAAGAGAAAGTATGGAATGTATCTGCACTCATCTGCAAGTTGCAAGACTACTGTTTAATAAACACCAAGTACAGTATATAAGATTTCAATTATTTTCACATACACCCAAGTACTTAAGTCCTTATTTCCTTTATAAAAGCATCTCAGTCCAATTAATAAAGATAGTACACTTAAAAAATTTCAAATATATAGTACATTTGTTTCCGTGCATGTATGTCCAAGATCTCCCAGCAAAAATACAAATATGGAATCCAACAGCTTGACCATTTACACCTCCTTTGGCACATACAACTTCGTATCACATGATGTAAGTACCATCTTTGTAGTATTTCATAGATTCCAGTTGCTGAGTCATTGCAAGGAYATCCTGAAATCCTGTACTGAGTCCAGACATATGTTGAAAATAAGCCTCCTTCTCCACTTGGACAGTTAAGTTGTTTACTCCAGCATCTTTCAGAATGGCCGTGACCTGAACAGAAAGGTGTAACATTACTATTACACTTCATATGTATCTCACAGTAATTTGTAGTATTCTGGCTCTGAAATGCTGAAAAAAGCCCCACATAGCATTGACCAGAATTCAGTTCTCTGGAAAGCAGAAAGTAGTTTAACAGGGTGTGGCTTTGCAACTTTGGCATACTGGGTGATTCTCAATGCTCTCCATAGGGAAATATATATCTTTTTAATGAAAAGAAAAACCCACAGCAAATAGGTAGTGGTAATCCAGTTATAAATGCATAATTAGCACCCAGATATCCSTACTGTTTATTGCCTGTTTTGCAGGCCTGCTTTTCCACCTCCCCTTCTTTTCTCAGAGCAGATGTAGTGCTACTTTCACCAGTGAGTGTTTTGGCAGATGTTCTAGCAAACAATTCTTTATGCAGCTAATTTCAAGCTAGCAGGCAAGGGGTACAGTCTTAGAGACCAACTCTGAGCCACAAAAAATTTATACATGTCAGCTTGAAACTTCAGTCTATGACTGAAAGGCAGATGCCAAATAGCAAATTAAGAAATTAAGAGTCTGAAAACCTTGCACTTTACCTGCTGTACAATTCTCTGTTCCATCACATCTGATACCACTTGCACATGTATTGTGCCTGCCACAACAGTTGCAGAGTGGCACCAAAAATGAGGATCTCTGTAGGATATGACTCCCTCTATTTTTTGAATCTGTGAAGAAATTTCATTAACAACAATTTAGTAGTTTTAAACTTGTATATGTACATGGCTATTAGTTGATAGTATTCCACAAGGAAACAGAAGTGTGTAGTACAGCAGCTTTCCAACTAAGCTATATTCAGAAATATCTAATATTAAAAGGTCACCTTGCTACTCCTGTAAAATTCTAGAAGGTGAAAGTCAAAATTAAAACCCCAGAAGAGCAATGCTAAATAGAATAAGGAAAAAAAATCCCTGACATAGTGAACAGATCACAGAAACATACATATACAGACCAACCAGAACGCTGGTTTGGCATCTACCATTTCTAGGGCACTTGTTACCTCACAGTTTAGCAGCAATATTTAGTATCATAGCTCACTTAACTCAGAAAAATAACTTATTTTCCATAATTTATAATTTTTTTCAAATTTATCTTTGTTTTGGGTTGGCTGTGATAGCTTTTCAGAGCAGCTGATCAGGCTCTGTGTTTTGCATTTCTGCTTAAAACTGTTTTGGTAACACACCAATGCTTTGGCTATTGCTGAACCGTTCGGGCTTTCTATCACGCAGTTTCAAGGCTTTCCCTTTTTCCCACTTTGCCCTTGCCCAGGTGGGAGGCTGGGGGTGGGCAAGTAGTAGGGAGGTGACAGAGCTAGGGCAGCTGACCCAAGCTGTCCAGAGGAATACTGCATGCCATAGAACACACCTTGCTCAGCAGTAAAAAATGGGGTAGAGGATGAAGTGGCGATTTTGGCTTACAAGGTGGCTGTTGTTTGGGGACAGCCTGGGTATTGGTCTGCCTGTGGAAGGTGCTACACCACTCCTTTTCCCCATCTCTTCCTTCACCTGTTAAATTATACTGTTCCCAGAGTTTCTTGCTTATGCTCCCCTGTCCCATTGGCAGTGTTGGTGGTGGTGGTAGTGGTGAAGAAGGGAGTGAGCAAGTGGCTGCATCGATGCCTGGCTGCTGGCTGGGGTCAATCTACAGCAAGCAAATGGTTTTATTGTGATGTAATTTTTAAAATGCTTTTCCTATTGTCTTTTAATGAATTGGTCTTTGATTGCTTTCAAAAAGTACTTTCTTCTTCCCCAGCATCTCAGAATTACTGTCTTCTCTAGTCAAAAAGTGAAACCATACTGGATCTCACTTTCCTTTAACTACACAAATCTCTCCCAAACAATTCCATTTCTCATTTTCTTTCTCACGCAGACAAGAACACATTTGCCCTTCTAGTAAGCTGACAGGACACCACAAGGATAGTCTTCCTTGAAGCCTCTAGTTGACAGCACCCTCCAAGAACTTTTAACTCATTCTTTTATAGAGGAGCTCTCCACACTGAGGTCCACACTCTAATTTTGGGTAAGAACTTAAAATGAGGCAACAGCAAAGACTAAGTACAGCCTCAAGGCAGATGTCATACTGCACCAGACAGGAAGAGAACAGACTAGAAYGAGAAAGTAATTAGAAAAAACAGCTTAACTTTTGCCATCCCACCTACTGTGAACTAGTATACCCTTTATGGTACAAACAAATCAGAACACCTGAAATTACAAGCTCCCATTGCCTGAATTTCCATAACAAGTTAAAAAGGTTAAAAAGGGCTGTGGGTTCAGGAAACTGCCACTGTTTACCACACTGTTATCCTACGTGTCTGAAACTATGGACTACCCACAGAAGCAAAAAAAAGTGCAAATCTTTTTAGCGGCAAACTTTAATCATTAAAACTAGTGATCCTGTCACTTCTCTGCCAAATAGATTTTAAACTACTTGAGACAAGAATTTGTCCAATACAACAAAAGCTGTCTGAATGAACTGCTTGAGTTGAATAATCACTGAAAAACGTTACAGCTTTGTATGTTTGTACATGAAAACATTTAGAATTGTACCTTTTCTAAAGCAGCATGCAGATCTTTCTCCTGTTCTGGAGGTATTCGCAACAAAAGCACTTGACAGGCATCTTTCAATAGTGGGATAACACTAAGAAAAATCAATGTAGCAATAAAGAGAGAGCAGAGTGGATCAGCTATGAGCCATCCAAATTGCTGAATAAATATCGTGGACACGATAACACCAACACTGCCAAGAGTGTCTGCTAACACATGCAGAAACACACCTAAAACCAAAACAAATAGATTGATTAACAGTCCTGTCTAAAATGTATGTATATGCTCAACAGCAGAAACTGAGTAAGGCTTACTAAATATCCTCAAGCTAAACAGAGATGACTCTCTGCCTAACCTGGGACAAAAATACACTATAAACATTTAGCTTTTTTAATGCTTAATTACAAATTAACATAAAAATAATTTTTACTCTATAGGGCAATGATCTAGGTAGGCATCCACAGACTAAAGTAAATGTGAATAGTCTTTAAATTGTTAGTGGCATTTGTACAATATTGCTTAGTAATTTAGCTCTGTATACAAGGACTCAGTGATCCTTAACAGAAAGGTAGAAGTACACAATGAATTGCTAATGTGGACACACATTAATGTACTGGCTGGTTTACCTATGCCAATTCTACTCCAGTTTTACAATTGTATTTGTGCTACTGCTACAAATTTAATACTTTATACTGCTTTAATTGTGGGTTTATTCTCAATGTACACTCAACGGGCATAGAAAAATACTTGCTAATCACTGGTAAGATTAGTGCTAGTTAAGTGTCAGGATTTTGAAGAATATTGAAACATGAGTATAATCAGACTTTACAAAAATGACAGACATAATGAATATGAATAACCAGGACAATCAACTGAGTTAAGACATAATATAACTTAAAAATATGAGACTATTCACCATATTCTGACAAGCTTACAYAGAAAATATTATTCCTTATAGGTTTTTTTAATAAACCAGAAAGTTATTTATTGGTAAATAACTACTTTATAACTACTAGAGAAAAAAATTCTATGCTGAAGTGTTATATACAGTGCTCTACTCAGCTTATGATTTCAGATTTGAAAGTTTTATCTTTACCACCTAATCTTCTGATTCAAAAATAAAAGCATATTCAACTGCTGGTCTGTATTTGTTCTGCTTCTTATCCCCTCTGCAGTGTTTTTGCAACTGTCACATGATACCTAAAAGCATGGTAGTATCTTTATAGATAGAGGCCTTGTACTTTCATTTCCAGTTTGAACTTACAAACAAGGACTTTAAGCTTTTTGAATGTGGTTTATTTGTGACCTTTAGTAATGTTAGTAAAGACTGTGGATTACTGCTTTTTAGTGTTCCTAATGTACTAGCATATATGCACAGAAACATCTGGTATTCAAGTTTCTTCAAGGTAAATTCATAAATGTTTTGAGCAAGTCCTGTATAGCACATTTAATAGCTGTCAGATCACTCCAGGAGAGCGCTTTTAAGATTGATGCATAGTACTGCATAGGTCTGATTCTAAAAATGTTCACTCTCCTGGAATTGCATTCATCACTTATGTTTCAACAATCTGTACTTGCCTCTCATGTTGGTGTTCATGCCTCCTCCAGAAGACCCATGGGAATGTCCATGGCTGTGCCCATGGTCGCTGTGGGAATGGCCATGGCTGTGGCCATGGTGAGAATGGCTGTGATCATGTGCAGGACAACCTCCCCGAGAAGCCCCGTGGGAGTGTGCATGGCTGAAGGCACAGATACCAACAAGGTTTACAATCAGCCCTCCAACAGAGACTGGCTGTGAGAGAGAGAAAAGCCTTTAACCTCACTGCATCTTTATAGGTGTTCAAACTTATTTTTTAGAACATGGTAACCAGAAACACCATGCACTTAATTAAGGAAAAGTGGGGAAGCCCACAACTTCTCTGGGCAACCTGTTCCAGTGCCTAAACAACCCCACAGTAAAGAATTCCTTCCTAATATCTAATACCTAATCTAGKAATTTCTTCAGTTTGAAACCATTCCCCCTTGTCCTATMATGAAATTTCCTGGTAAAAGTCCATCTCTAGCTCTCCTGAAGGCTCCCTTCAGGTACTGGAAGGACTATTATCCTGGAGATAAACATAAACTAACCATTAACTGCAAAAATACACTGAAACAGAATGACAAAACTTACAGTTAGCATGTTTGTATCTATGTCTGGAGGATCCACCAGTCTAGCCACTGATTCCATGAAGACAAAGAAAGCAATCACCATCAGAAAGAGGCCATTAATAAATCCAGAAAGAATTTCTACACGTCCATACCTGAAAGTAAATGTATATACTTTTGAGAGTGAAGAATGGGTACTCTGAACAAATGTCAAAATTATAATATAATTCTTTTAATACAGCATTAAGAGTGCTCTAATATTTTCCTCAATGTTACAGAATCATGCCACAACTTCCGAGTTATTTTTTCTGATCAAGAGGTTGCCAGTTTTCAACTGTCCAAACTCCATTAGAATAAAGCAGCATGTAAGTATTCTCTTATATACTGCCCATTCAGGGCTTCAAATTGTTAMACAGCTATAGATATAAAGTTTAATTACATCAACCAAATCTAAATCGTCATATGAATGAAAATTTTTAACATAGATTTTTGTTTGACATAAATGCATATATAGAACGAGATAATTTCTAAATAATATTCATAGTGATAAAGTTTCACTTGTAGAGATAAATGAAAATTACATTTTGGGCACTTTTTTTGCAGGGCTAAGAAAAGAATAGCATGAGTACAAATGGAACAGAAGAGACACAGCAAAAAACCCACAGAAGGACGCATTAGTAAAATATCCCATACACACGAGAACATTTTGAAAATGAGCAAGAAGAGTTAAGTTTCAAACAGTCTTTAAAGAAACCATGATACATACCCATAGGAAAATATGCGAGTTGCTTTCCACCTTGTCATCAGAGCTGCAAAAAGCCCCATCACTAACGCAGAACAATCAAAAAGCATGTGAAATCCATCAGAAATAAGACCAAGGCTATTAGTCCATACTCCATAAAAAAGCTCCACAAAAGTGAAAGCCTAAAACAAAACAGAGTTTGAATTTTTCCTCAAAAATTAACTTRTGTATTAATGTTTTGGTAGATAGGAATTTGTTTGGTAGATAGCAGGACATTATTTTCATAGAAGACTTGATATTTTGCAAAGGTACTGTTCAAAGTCTTTCTAGACCATTTTTTCTCTCTTCCAATGAAATACGTGATGCATTCCAGGTCTGTGAAGAGCTATTTTTAACCTACTCTCCTTAAAGSCTCATACATAAAAAACTAACTCTTYACAGGAGTAAATTTAAGTTTTCATTTTGAATTTTAAACTGACATTCTGTAGACCAAATTCTAAGCGTTTTATCATTAAAAATGTAAAAGCTCTGAWCTGATATACAATTAGTGTTAAAGTAATGCTGTTAATAAATCTGTTACACCAACATTTTCTTCACCTGTAAACTGTTTAAATCTTAGTAATTAGTTCTGAGAGGGTACACAAGGAAACATTTTTAATGCATACGTTTACCCTGTATATTTTATTATTATTAATCCATCTGCTAGAAACTATTTTCCAATCTTTCATATTCGATAATAGAATTCCTTAGAGCTAAGAAGCATAGTTCAAGTTCCTCCCCTTATTTTCCTGGAGATCTTTGCAAAAGAGGTTCTATCAGTTTTGAATACTGCATAATCTTTTCCTGTTTAAGACAGAGAGAAGCTAGAAATAAAATTAGCCTACTCCAAAATTACACTAATCAATCCCATACCTTCTATTTTGTCATTCCCATCCTTGAAGGCCTTATCAGTTTCAGCTTATCTGCTGGCAACATTGAGGTATCTCAACCTTGAACATAGTATCATACAAGGATTCAGTTACTGCTGTAATGCTTACACAGAGAACCAGTGCTGCACTGACAACAAATTATTGACCACTAACTAAATTACTCCATCACACATCACTTTCAAACCAATCAATTATGGGAATCTATTAWAGAGTAACTTCTTTACAGTATCTGTATAAACTGTATATATATTCTATTATAGATGCACTGTTCTGATTGGGTTTGAAGGAAAAAAAACATGCACTTACCAGATTTAGGCACAAGAAATAGAAGATTTGCCTAGAATCATACTCCTCAAGAATTTGTTTCAGTGACTCCTTAATAAACCGGGGCAGTGACTGAGAGCTCTGCTGTAATGCATCACCCATGAAGTTATAGAGAGGAGTGCCTTCAGGGGAATAGCCAATAAGGGTACCCTTCTGCCCTTTCCTGGAGGGGGAGGACAGGATATTGGCAGCTGCAAGGAAAGTATTGAAGTTTTTGTTGCTGTTTCTAAGCTTCACAGCTATGTTATAATGCGTTTAATCAGCAATCAAAGTTTATGTGAAATTTGCAGGCAGCAAAGTGATTGTTAATTTCATTTTGAAGTTTATCACYAGATTTCATTGCTATGCAAGATTAGATCATCACTTCCACATTCCTTTTCTCTACAGACAGCAAAAGAGCAAAAAGATACTGGCTGCCTTATTCAAAAGTATCCAAAAAAGCTCATCCAAAAGAATTCTGCACACCTCAATTTTCTGATTGGCTTTCCAGTCACACAGACCACAGACTTATTGGAATTAAGACAAGAATACGTACATAAAACGAAGAAGACAGCACTCACTACCACCCCTCCAGAAAGAACATGCTCTGTGCTTTCATGGTGTGGTGGCTTGTTCATAGCTCGAAGCTGGTCTGTTATTGGATGTGTCCAAAAATTTCCAAAAAGCAGTGCACTAATGAAAATAAGAAAGGATCCGTATCGAGCACATGTGGAAGCTTCCATCTTCACAGAGCATATGGACTCCACATAGAAATCCAGGATCACAACAAAAAAGATGACTGTTACGAAAGGCATGATGAGAGAAGACCAAGACTCTACTTTACTCTGAAACAAAAAATAAATTTCAAACAGGACTGCTCACCAGAAGAGTGATTGTGTATGTAGCATTAAATCTAGTTTGCTCAAATTACAAGTGCTTTCACTAATCCATAAAACAGATACTTTTGTACTTTCAATTTATCATATAAACAAAACATTTCAGTTGTAAAAGACACATGCACCACAGTACATTATTTTAAGTATKTTCACATTCTTGAAAGGAATGCTATATGCAATGGTCTACTCTCCCTATGCATGCAGGCAAAAAGTGCATTTCTTAAAATAAAAATACATAATCTGCTTCTTAGGGATAAAAGAGCACTGTATTTATATAGTCATTAACACTTGTGTAATATTAGTAGATGAACCCAAGATATAGTATTGAGCTAGAAGGATGAAATACAGTTATTACACRAAAGAGGAAATTAAGGTATTGAATAGATAAAAATCAAATATAGAAAAGCATAAAAAAAGCTTACTACAAAAAAAAAAAAGACAGCAACTTTGGTAATTTTAAAGATACTTTAAAGGAAATATTTAAATTGTACTTCACAAGCACTACAAAAAACGATTTGTCTTTATACTTATGATCTTACCTCTGTTGTCAGAGAGAGAACAATAACCCATGGGCACAATAGAAGGACAGAAACAAGATGAGACAAAGCTTGAAGACGCTTGGCTCCACCTACATCTACAGATAGTTTTCGGGATGCCATGTGAAAACCAACCTTGCAGCACAATGCTAGTACCAGAAGCAGTACTCCACCCTGGAGACATAAAGGGATTCCATTAGCACTTCTTAAGTATCAAAAGCCTCACTCAAAACACAATGAGGCTTACAAGGACAAAAGATTAATGTGCTTTCCTTAACCTGGCAACAAAAGCCAAAACTAGGACATTTTCTGTAATTTTCACTCTAGCTAAAAACAGTAACATACCATGCATAGTTATGCCTTAGCTCTATTCACAACAGCTTAATATGAGTTTAATTTCAAAACTCTCAATAGTGTTAACTGGCATACATCAGCAGCAAAATGGTAGCAAAAGGTACCTGAGAAAGAAGAAAAATCACCCAAAGTTTGTTTTCCCATAGCCCCTTATTTAAAGTGTGGTGAAAGCATATATAAACCCTCAAAGGTTCACACCACCTTGTCCTCTAGACCCTTCACAACCTTTTTATCCACTTACCTTTGATCACACCATATCATATTTCTTCACAATGTACTTTTTCAAAATTGTTCGAGATGAATTATGAGATACACAGCATCTCATCTTCCTTAGATGACACTTGCTTTTGTGCACCACTAACCAGTGTTTCTAATATTTGATTTATATTTATATTAACACTTTTCCAGCTGCTMCATATTTTTGCCCTCTTTAGTCCTCAAATGCAGCCACTTTAGCAATACTAACACAATTCAATCAGCTAGGTCAATCACATACAGTAAGATGATGATATTCAGCTATTTATATCACCAATTCCTATGGGACTATCTTATCAAGAAGTATCAGAATCTGTGTCTTCAAATACAGATCTAATGTAAAGGAAAGACTAGGAAAAACTAAAGCTACAGCAACAAAACACAGGCCCCAAAAGTCAGTAAGAAATGGCTTTTATGCAAAGCATTATAAACATGCAGAACATTGATGACAGAATATTTCATGGTAATTTTAATGGGACTTTTTAGGTTATGCATTACAGTGAAGTCCTTTTCTGCTACAGAGGTTGACTATTCTATGGTTTGGCTTGCTGTACTGAAGATCCTCATAGTCCAATCAGTATGTAAAAATTACAACACAAATTCAGTTCCAACATGGGATGGGGATGTTCAACCTTTTGGGTTTGATTCAGGCTTGGATTAGCTCTGAGCTGGTGAAATTTTTACCTACAAAACTTAGATAAATATTCTATAATACATGTTATTTACCTTGTGATCTGCAACACCCAGGAAAGCAATGATTGTATAAAGAACATGGGTAAGAGCACTGTCATGATGCCCCTCAGCTAAATAAAAAATTAAGGAAAAGTTTAATTTGATTTTTAAACAAGAACAAGAACAACAAGAAAAGGCAAAGGTAGCAGAACACAGAAATCAGAAGTAAGCAAACTGAGCTTTATGGTGTGTTGGCATGTGCAGGACAGCAATGGGATTAGGCCCAGTTCTCAGAATTGGTTTATGAAAGCCAAGTCCTGACTGACCAGCCTTACCTTCAGTGAATRAAGGAAAAGCTGTGGATGCATGGACTCCAGTAAAGCATCAGACACGATTTACCATACAATCTTCCCAGAGAAACCAGCTGCTCATAGTTTGGACAGGCGCATTKTTCACCAGGTAAAAACTGCCCGGATGGCTGRGCCCAGAGTGGTGMTGAGTGGAGTTCCATGCAGCTGGTGGGCACTCACCAGTGCTGTTCCCCAGGGCTCAGTACTGGGGGCAGTTCTGTTTAATGACTCCATCAGTGACCTGGACAAGGGGATCGAGTGCACCCTCAGTCGTTTGTGGGTGACACCGAGCTGGGTGGGAGCTGATCTGCTGGAGGGCAGGAAGGCTCTGCAGAKGGATCTGGCCAGGCTGGATCATGGGCCAAGGCCAAGGGTGTGAGGTTCAACAAGGGCCAGGGCCGGGTCCTGCCCTGGGGTCACAACAACCCCAGGCAGTGCCACAGGCTGGGGCAGAGTGGCTGGAAAGCTGCCCACAGGAAAAGGACCTGGGGGTGCTGGTGACAGCGGCTGAACATGAGCCAGGGTGTGCCCAGGTGGCCAAGAAGGCCAATGGCATCCTGGCCTGGATCAGCAATGGTGTGGCCAGCARGAGCAGGGCAGGGACTGCCCTGTACTGCGTGCTGGTGAGGCCACACCTCAAATCCTGTGTTCAGTTTTGGGCTGTTCACTACAATAAGGACACTGAGGTGCTGAGGTGTGTTCACCCCTCAGAAGGGCAACGGAGCTGGGGAACACTTACAAGGGGCAGCTGATGGAGCTGAGGGTGTTTAGCCTGGAGAAAAGGAAGCTCAGGGTAGACCTTATCACTCACTACAACTATCTGACAGGATGCTGCATCCAGGTGGGGGTCAGTATTTTCTGACAGGGTAAGAAGAAATGGCATCAAGATGCCCAAGGGGAGATTAAGACTGAACATTAGGAAGAATTTCTTCACAGAAAGGATTATCAAGCTGCCCAGGGAGGGGCACACCCTGGCTGAATAAACATCCCTGGGGTACTTAAGACATACAGATGTAACACTTAGGGACATGATTTAGTGGGGGGCTGGCAGTACTGGATAAACTGCTGGACTTGACATYTCAAGGTGCCTTCCAACCCAGGCCACTCTGTGATTCTATTCCATGATTCTACTCACTGAAAATTAAGTAAAATCATCAATAAGGCTCCAGAATACAGCATGTGCATCTGTAATTCCTTGCTTTTATATATCCTTGGTAAGTTTACTTTCACCTTGTTCTTTTTTACTGCTCATTCTTAGATGTATTACTTTGTACATACTACACTATGATGAGATGCTCAATTCAAAAACTTCAAAATAATTTCTAATTATAATTTAATTCAGTACACTCRATTTCACATTTTCTCTGCTCCAGTACTAAGAGTCACTTGCTCTTACACATAGCAAGAAAGGATACGATGTTCTGCTATTTTAGCCATGAGGTCATCATTATCAAAAAGTAGTAAGCAGATCACAGCTATGATGAAAAATGCAGCACCTCTTGTCTGTAAAAAAACCCCAAAAAACAATAAACAACCAAACAACAACAAAAAAAAAACCCAAATATTTTTTAATTTGTTACCACGGATAACTATTAAAAAAATCCAGGAAATCAGTCCCTTCCTTCCCTGCTTCCTGATCAATGTAAGCATACTACAGTAACAAAACCATGAATGAAACTCCTATTACATTTAAGAAAATGAACTTGACAGTACATTTTTACATTTTTTCTGGTTTTGAGACTTAGCAGATCACTCAGAACATATCACCACTGCAGAAAGCTAGGAGTGTGTTACAAATTTTAAGTGTGATTACTTTCTCTCCATGGGGTGTTTCTGTCCACCAGAATGCACTGCTACTTCAACCTGATGATTTAATATTTTGTAGCATCACTGAGCTACAAAAAAGATCTGTACAAACTGYTGAATTTTGTCGTATGGCTAGAGTACTATGCAAAGGTTATGAGAAAGAACTCTGAAGTGCTTCTGTGGGGAAAGGACAGAAGCAGCTATGAAACTCCAGCTGCCAGCTTAAACCACTGCAATTTTTGGTATTCATCATCTTAGCTAGATACTAAGCTCTATGTCTGAAAAATAATATTAAAATTTATCTTTTAAAGCCAAAGACAGCTATTACATTCTGATTTCAGAAAGTTAGCTGACCAGATCAGTTCATAAAGCTGAAACATTCAGAGGACAGGGTTATGGCTCTCTTGTTTCTGTGGCCTGAATATATGCAGCTTATTTGTGAAATGTGGCTCATTAAGATACASATTGACAAAGAATCTCTCTCAAGCTCTACACCTATCCTTTGAGTACTCGGCTGGAGAAAATAATTGTCTTTGAGATGAAGACCTTCATGCTGGATGACATAAGCTCAGTTTGCAGGGAGGTGAGCATAGAGTCTCAGCACAGATGAYTGTGACTTTAAGACTGCCTGAAAGTCTTAGGGGACTTCAGTGCAGTTATGAGATAGATTTCCGAACTGCCAGCCTGAGATGGCACCAAAGTAAGACTTCCCTTCTAGCCTCAGGTATGTAACAGGAGGTTACAGCTCCTCCTATCATTATTGTTTTTGAGTGAAAGTGCTCAAGTCTGCTAGCTATGGGGATAAATTTGTSCATTTAAGGCTGATTGGGCCCATTTAGAGAACACTTGCAAAAGTACATGCAATGGGAGGTGAAACAAAGCATATCTCAAGTAAAGGTCTTCAATTAAATGGAAGGGTCCAAGTACTCAGCACACACGGGATCACACACACATAAAAGTACTTGGAGGACATTTTGGCAGAAAGAAACAATGTATGTGAAAAGCTAAACACATTGAAGATGCTAGGCCAGGAACTGTACTTCTGGGCTTCAGTGTCTAAGAGTCAGGACCACTACATGCACATRTGTTCTTTTGTCAGTTTGAATCCAAAAATAATTCTCAAGGTTCTTTTCTGCCTATAAACAGAAAAATTTCTCAGGTACCTGCTATGGTTATCCAATAGCTTCACCTACTATTTCTCTCTCGATATTTATTTATTATATTTATTTATTTTATTTTATTTTATTTATTTATATTTATTATTTCAAGTAGTACATCTTAAAATTTCACCACTAATTAAACTAAAAAACATTTTCTATGAACATGGATCCAAAATACAGTTTATTCCAGGTAAAGAAGTAAGTGAATTTATAGGGTTCAGTATCTTTTACATTTGGTAAAACAGATGTTTAAATACCTTTGCTGGTCCTCCCCCTGAGCTTGTGAACAAGACACTAAGGAGTGACAACACAACCACATCACTGTGCTCAAACAGTAACAATGTCCTATAAAAAAAATTAAACAAATACTTAATTTACAATGAGTTTACCTCACAATCTTGATATACACTATTTCAGCTAAAATTAATGACACAACAAAGATTTATCCTGTGATTACAACAGCACGTTTAAACAATTGAAAAGAATAAACACAAGCAAATGATTTGCCATCACCAGCATTAGATCTAGCTGCGGACAACTATGTATATTAYGAAACAAGAACATCTTCATTCAAGGAACAGATTTAAATTATTAATTTCTAGATAGCTTTAAATTGTACTTTCTTTTAGCAACACAAGATACTAACTTGCTTAAGATAGAGTTATTATTCCCACTAAAATACCTCCTATAAACCAGTTTCTTCTCCCACCGAAAAAAAAGAGATCCTGTACTGTACTACATCCTGTTTATTGAGGTGCTGATGATCTAGCAGTTTATGCCACCTCAAAACCTCTTAATTGCTGAAAATAAGGAATTCTAGCTTACATGCTACCTCCTTCAGACAGCAAGGGCTGACTAACAAGCGGTATTGACAACTTTCCTGAGCAGAACATGAAAGTAATTATTGTTGTCAAGTTTACCAAATGCTTTTGTAATCCTCTGCATAGCAATACAACATGCCAGGACCCATGTAACTGGTTCTGTTTGAGAAGACTGCCAGCATCCAGAAAGACACAAAAGTACTAACTACATTAATATTAGTAATCACAGCAGTATTGCTGTTGAGTATACCTTCTCCTGTCTAGGTGATAAACTTCACCCTCATAAAATGTATTCTTTAAGGCTTTACTTTCCTCYTGCTAGTGAAACATGCTTTCAAGTATATTAACCTCCAGTTTTTGGAAGTCTAGTTACTCTTTTATAGCTACTTAAGTAGGTTGTATTACATACAGGACAAATGGTTTTACCTGTATGCATATGAACTAATGTAACCCTAATTCAACACAGAGCACACAGCCAACCAAGAAGTACCCTGCAACAAGTGCGGAAATTGATTCTATCACGTGAATACTAGCTGCTAACACTAGCCATCAAACTGTTGACTCCCAATAGGTAAATAAACAATTGGCATTACATTAATAAGAGTAGGGAAGTGACAAAAACTTCAGCAACCTTGATGTATCATTCACATCAAGTGTTTAAGCAYTTGCAAGAATTTCACTGGCATCTCATAAAAGAAAACTGCCAGTTCTACAGAAATCACACTTCACAATCACTAAAGATTTCACAGGAAAATTCATAAGGTTTCACTTAAATTTTTGGACTATACATCAAGTGACTAGCAGCATGGTCTGACAGACAGAAAATAAAAAATGAAAGAGAAAGATAGAGAAGGATCACAAGAGAAAAACAGTATTTACTGTTTTTATGTAGATACGTATTTACCTCAGTGGTCCGCAAAGAGTGAGGCCAAAAAACCACAGGAGTGAAATGATACATCCAACAACAGCATGCTTAAAAATTTTGATCCACTACAAAAGAAAGGTATTTCATTATTATTTTCTCCRGAGCTTCAAAATAAACATTCCATGACTAGCATTCTTTTAGCACGATAGCTGTAGAAATTGTATTTCGCACATTCTGTAAATATAATCTAGAGTATGATTATCTTCTTAGCTACTTTGCCAGSCAACTAAGATTTATTTGGATATACTATGAACCAGAGTTCTTTTCTACTAGTATTAGATTTTGTAACATTGTCTGAGTTCTCTTACACAAAAATCCTGGAAAATGGTTGAAGAAGAGTCAAGTCCATTTACCTGTTTTGTAGTCTACTGTATGTATCTGCTAAACATAAAAAGAACCACAAAATGGAGACTAAGACCTTATGCTTACAAATGTTTTATATGTGTGTTAAAATCTTTCTTCAGGAAGCAGGCTATAATTCTGATATTCAACACATTATTAACTTCATGTATAAGAAAAGAAATTAATTTTGGCAGTATGTAAAACAAGACAAAGTACCTACAAGAAACACTGTATGTACAAAATCCAGGACTTAAAATTTTTTAGCAACAGTAAAACTATACAGGGACAGACTTCTCTGAACTCACATGCAGCTTATTTCTGTTTTTACAATTTTGTCATACGTGTCTAGTCATGAAAGCAGCTGACGCATGGAACACTTCGAGGCTGTCCTTCAGATTCTATCTACTTAGTGCATGCACTGGGTCAAGTTTTTGTGCAYGCAATTACATAAAGCCCATGAATATGAAGCAAGTGAAAAAATTTATTTTTACAAATCAGCAGGTTCCAACCTAGCCTTACTCTTAACTCCTTGGGATACTGGGATCAGTTAGATCAAGCCCTCATCACATGCAGAAAGGACTCTCTTGTTGTGATGGACAAGACTGGAGCATTTTGACATTCTGACAGTCCAGAAATTGCCCATTTGACTATCCAAGTCAGCTGAATAGACTATGCTTTTTTTGAAAATCTACTCCTCAGAGTAGACGTTTGCATGGTGATAAGGATCAACCTTTTCACTATMCTCTCAAAAGAAGCTGACAAAAATTAAAAATGCTGAGTGTTCTAGCTCACACGACACCGAGTTAGTTACACACCTCTAGAAACAGTAACCCCATTTTCTCAGTGAAGCAATCTTTGTTTCCCTTTCMCTTCTGGCAAGAGCCATGTTGCCAAGGTTATTTATAAAGATCTTTATACATGTCAACTCACCTGACGCTTCGTTATCACTTTTCCAGAAGAAAACGGTTTTTGAAACAAAACCATAAAAACTGCAGACCTGTCAAAGGAGAAAGTTTTCTCTGTCAGTGTATTAGCAGTCAGTTTCTATTCAATTTCTATTCAGCTCTGAACAACTCGGTCTCTCATACCTGGCTCTSTTAACAAAATGGCTTCCTCTATTTTTTTTCCATTAACAGGCCTCACTGACCACTTTCACTGCTTTTATTTCCCCTGCTGCATTACCAGCATCARATACCAGTAGTACAGTGATGACAAATGAACTTCAGTTCTGGTCAACTTCAAATTCAAGTTCTTTAGAGAATGGATAATGAGAAGTCTATTTGTGATTTACAAAACTCAAAATAAGTCACAAGTTTTGAAAAGAAATAATACTCTGATTTTTATTAGCAAGACAGATATATCAAAAGGCTTACTCATATATGGAATGCTGAATACACAGTCCTGTATGAATGGAAGACACACACAACTTTGAAGTGAGACCAAAAAATGGGCAAATGATGGAAAAAAAAAAAAGATTGTGGTGCTAGAGAACACACAAGAGAGAAGTCCAGAAATGGACACGAATTTAAAATAAAAGGGAAGAACTAAGTTCCAAATGCTCCAACTCTGTCAAATTTAAATAAGCATAAATGCTCTTTCACATCTCATCAGGTAAACATGAAGCAGGATTTTGTCTGCAAAGGTTGTTTTGGTACATTTGCTATCAGTTTTCACACCTCAGCCCTCAAWCTGGGAAAAACAGCAGCTGAATCTCACAGGAACTATAGGAATACAATCTACAAAGAAGAAACCTTATCTTCTACACCCTTGCAAACAAAATCAGGACATGCCTGAGTGTCCTGGTTTCAGCTTGGACTAAGATAATTTTTTCTCACTAGCTGCTACCCAAGTGCTACTGCTAGCAGTGTTGTGTTTTGGATTCAGTGTGAGAATAATGTTGATAACACAGTTACGGTTGCTCCCAATACTGCTTATCTGAAATCAAGGACTTTTCAGTTTCCCATACTCTGGCAGCATGCAGGTGCACAACAAGCTGTGAGGAATCATGGCCAGACCAAGCCTGAACAGGACAAAGGGATGTTCCATRCCATAAATGCTACATACTCAGTATATTGACTGGAGGAGCTACCCAGAAAGAGGCTGATTGTGGGTTGGGGATGGGCTGGGTATTGGTTATTGCGAGGTGGGCAGTTGCATTGTGCATCATTTGTTTTTATTGGGTTTTCTCTTTCCTTTCATTACTAAATTTAGTTTATTAACTTATTAATTTCAATTATTAAAATCTTATCTCAACTTGCAAGTTTCATGTTTTGTTTTCCTCCTAATTCTCCTCCCCAGCCCCCTGGGGTGGGGCAAAATGAGAGCACAGTTGCCTGATGTTTGATTGCTACTTGGAGCAACAGTCATACCATGACCAACAGCATTGTCAGCACTGTCATCTATGCCAGAGTAGGCCCAATTCTGACAYTGGAAAAACACTCAAGTTTCTTAARGGCAGAGAGGCCTTACAGAAACATGTGGAAAGACTAGAGAGCGGGACAATCACGAACGGTATGAAACTTAAGAAGAAACAGTGGTGGACTTTCCATCTGTGGTGGGGTAACCCTGTTAGTATGCACAAAGTAAGGGATACAAGGGCGGTGGGCAGCTGCACAGAAGGAAGTCTGGAGGCCTGGGTGGATGGCAGTTTGAATATGGGTCAATAAAGATGCGACAAAAAGGGTCTGCTGTGTCCTGGGGTGCATTTGCACAGCATCACCAGCTGCTTGAGGGAGRTGATTGTCCTACTCTGCAATGCACTGATGAGGCCTCACCTCAGCTCCTCTATGCAGCTTCAGGTGCCTCCATATCAGAARGACATCAAACTATTAAGACTGTGTTTGGGGGAGGCAGCCAATCGTGTAAGGTCTCAAACGCAATTGCACATCTGAGGTTGCTTGGTTTACTCAGCTCCGAGAATACTGAGGGGTGACCTCTTGGCACCTTCCTCAATGGAGGGGCAGTTGAGGAGCAGGTGCTCATCCCTGGTGACCAGTGACAAGGCATGAGATGGAATCACACCGCATCGGGGTAAATTGACACTGTGCATTATGAAAAGGTTCGTCACTAAGGGTGGCTGGCCACTGTAACAGGTGCCCCGGGAGTGTCACAGCTCCAGTGCTGTCAGAGTTCAAGGTGTATCTGGACAACACTATTGATCACGTTTTAAGTTCCAGGTGGTTGTGTGAGGAGCAGAGTTGAACTTAATGAACCTTATGGGTCTCTTCCAACTTGAAACATTCCAAGGTACTAAACTACAGTGAACAGAAATGTGAAGCAAAAACATTGCTATGAACAGAGTATTTCCTGTATTTACTATCCTTCTCTTCGAGTAAACTGTCACAGCATAATGCCGGGTCATATGCTGTCAAAGAACACCGACAGTAGTTGCACGGGTGGGGGACAAAGCTCCGCCCCCTACACACTCACCCCAGCTGTATTACGAAGATAAACTGCACGAGGTGGACCACTTTCAGGAGATCATAGGATTCAAACAGCCCCACGGCTTTCAAAACCTTGGCGAAGGACAGCAGCACGATGTACCGAGTCAGCCTGCAGAAGGAGAGACGCCGGTTCGCACCTGCCACGCCACCGCCCGGGCCCGAGGCCTCAGCGGAGGCCGCCGCCCCCCCGCCCCAGGAGGCCGCGGGACGATGCCCGCTGGCCCCCTGAAGAAGGGACGGCGACAGGCCGCCCGCCGGAGCCAGCGGGGCGGCCGCTCCCCCCCGCCGCCGTTACCGGGCGCTGGGCACATCCACAGGCCCCAGCGCGCCGCCGCCGGCCAGGGCCTGCCCGCCGTACGGCTGCTCCATGGCGGGACGGAGGGAGGGAGCTCCTGCAGGGCACGGCTGCGAGCGCTCAGGCGCTCAGGCGAGACCCGCCTGCCCTGCGCTGGGGGCACCGCATCCCCCGCGGGCAGTGTGGTGGGACGGGAAAGGGGCAACGGGATGGGAATKGGGGCAGCGGCACGGGAACCGGGAACGGGAAGTACGGGAGGGAGAGCGCCCGGCCGCGCGCGTGCGCGGKAGCAGTGCGCAGGCGCGGCGGGGCCGGGGCTCTGAGGGGCGCGGATCCCTCCGCTCGGGGTGGCGAGCGGCGTAGTGACGGCCGAATTACTCTAAAAAAAAAAAAAAATCTTAAAATGCAAATCAGATTATTTTGTTGTGTTATGGCGCAAAGCCCTGCGTCAATATCAAGCATCAGGAGATTGTCTCCTTACCGACGGGTTCAAGTATCCAGCTGAATGGGAAATTAAGGCAGAAGATTTGAAATGTCCATATTGTGAGCTAGCTGCTTTCTCCGAGCCGTGGCTCAAGCTCTCTGGTTTTGGTTCCCAACATGTGATTCTGGTACATAATTCAGCACCGAAAGAAATCAAGAATGTAGTGATGTATTGAATTAGCTCAGCAATGGTCAGCTGGATATTGGATTTCTTTGAAATAGACTTGGGTAGACTAATTGGGCAGAGATGGAGGGATAGGCGCATAGAGAGGTATGACTCCTGGCAATGAAAATTTCATAATTTCACTGGTCAAAAATCAAAGATTTTTGAAATTTATTTACAGATTTTCAAATTATTCCCAGTGGAGGTGAATACGTCAGCAGGGCAGGCATGAGGCTATTGAGTGAAATGCCGTCTCTGCTGTTCCAGCTGCCTTGTGAAAACCCCTTTACAAAGTTTAATCCACAGGTCTTGTCTCCTGTGAAAAAACCTCTCAGTTAACAACTTGCAGTCCCTGAAGCCCGTGGATCCACCACAAGATGTCGATAATGTTTGTTGGCAGGGGAGGGGTGAAATAAAGTTTAGTTTCGTGCCGTGTCCAGGAGATGGAGGTGTCGGCAAGGAGCACACGGGAGGGGAGCGCAAACGAGAGACGGCCGTGCCTGATGTGGAAGAGGGCAGAGGGTGGGAATCAGCGCATTGTGTCASAAACATGCGGAGAAGGGCAGAGAAAAAGGCTAGTAAGGCACAGGTGAACTTTCTGGGACTTAAATGGGGGGAAACACAAAAAGCAGAGGTGTGAGTTAAATGACAACATTGCAAAGACCAAGGGATGCAGACATGTATTTTCAGCCCTTTTTAAGGATGGGCATATGTGGCATGCTGGGGCAGGCTGTTGCTCATCCGTGGCTCTCCTGCAACTTGTGTGGTGACTTGCTGACACAAGCCTTGTAGYGTTACAGTCTCTGGCCTGCCAATTCACTTAGCTGGTCCCCAYTGAGTGCCTCCCCAACAGGTGTCTCAAATGCCTGTTGCCAGGTAGGATTCTCTTGGCTACTGGGGGTCCCAGGCTGGAATGGTGGCACGGCACCCCTGCCTAGGCTCTGCACTCCAGCAGGACCCCTGGCTCAAAAGAACCTCCTGGGAAGACATGTGTCCTGCCACATCAGCAATCCTGTTTCACTTGTATGTACATAAACAGTACATGTTCATGCCTATACATAAACAGTACATGTTCATGCCTAGGACATGAACTTAGAACTGTGTGTAATCTTAACATATTGGAAATCCACTCGTGGCTTGTTAGCCTAGTGCAGTGGTATTTGGTTTGGCAAAGAGGTATCTTGCTGTCTGCATTCTCTGSCTGCTGTCTGTGAACTCTATTCTGCCTGAAAACATGTTATAATTATGTAGTTTTGAAAATACACATTACTAGGCCCTGGAAGGGTCGATGAAATGGGCATGTTGATATGTTTCAGTGGAGCACCACTGCACGCAAAGGTGCCTACTACCCTGCTGCAAAGATGGGGTCCAGGTAACTAACAAGTAAAATTGCAGAATCAAAAACCACACGGTAAAACTGCTTAGGGTTGTTCAAGGAAATGGTGAAAATAAATTACTACTAATAAGAGCAAAGTTAGTATCTGCAGGAACAGCTGAAGGMGAAAGAAACTAAAGTCCTAGAATGGATAGACCCAAACCCAGAGACTTCATAATTGAAAAAAGCTATATGGAGGGTTTAGGGCACTTGGACAGGATTTGAAAGGGCTCTTATTTACATCCTGCAAAATGTACAGCAATGATGAATTAATCTAAACATAATATATAAAGATCTATTATTTAATTTAGTTCTAAATGTGTATTAAGCTATAGTTTCTATTTGCTTGAATGTTGCATGCTCCTGAGGACTTAAATTGTGAAATCAGGGTATCTAAAAGGTTAGAATTCTGGGGAAAAGAGTTTTGAAGTGTTTTCAGTGGTCCTAGTTACTCAGTGTCTGTTACTCCTCAATGAAAATGTGATGTATTAAGAAGGAGAACACAGGCCTAACAAACATTCTATGAAATGATAAACCTAATTGTTACCACAACCTAGCGAGACCAGGGGAAACGCAGAAGGAAAAGGCTCAGAGATATTTGGGAGGAGAAATTTTTCCATTTTCTCCACTAAGTGAGATCTTGGGGCAATTGAAGCAAAAAGGACCACTTTCTAAGTGTTGTACTTCTTTTTGTTATCTTAGGAATACAGTTAACTGTGGTAGATTAAGGGGGAAAGAAAAAGATTCCCCTCCCTGTGAAAGCAGAACTACTCAAACTTGTGTTCAGTGTAGAGCTGCAGTCAGTTCATGTATGGACTTTTGATCTGTCAAGAAACATCAAGCATTTTCCTTCTGTGTTGAAAGAAGCAGTGTCTGTGGGTGCCACCAAATGCTGGAGCTGGCTTTGGATTTAGGTCTGGAGAGGCACATTCAGGATGGTGGCGAATGTCCTGGTGAGGGAGCTGTGGCAGAGCTGTGCTGCCAGTAGGCATTTATTTCAAGTTGTGCTTTCATGAAGAGTTTTGTTTGGAAAATTTCTTAACAGCTTGGTGTTTATTGAGTAATGATGACACAGATATCTGTTCCAGGAAATCTCACTGGGATTAACTAAGTAATTGGAATGGCAGAAAATGTCTTTTCTCTTTGACTCGGCATGGGAGCACTGTGACTTTGCTAAGACTTGGCTTCTGCACTTCTTCCTTCTGATTCTAATGCAAGCTGTGGTCTTTCATTTTTCAACTAGCAGAGAACAACTAAGTAGAGAGCAGTGTTACTGGGAACTGCACAGATATCCCTGGTTCCTGTCATCATACTAATCATACACACATGATTTTGCAGAAAATTTCAGACAGTTGGTGTCTGGGGAAGTGAAGAAAGGAGGGCAAATGACTCTGAAATAATGTTGTGACTTGGATTGCTRTGAATCTCCATCTCTTCTTGGGCTGCTGCTGTTGTGTATACATATCACTGGGCAAACTAGTGAARTTACACTGATAGAAATGAAAGTAAAAAAAAAAAAACAACTCTGATGTAGCAATTCAGAGAAAATGACGTAGAAAGAAAACCTAATTGTGACTTAAAAGTGACATTTCTTTTTTGTTATAAAGCTGCAATATTAACTATGTAGCAGGCATGAAAAGGGAAAAAAAAGGGCTTATAGAAAACCAAAAGTGCTTGAAAAGAGGGTCATTTTAGAGGCTTCTGCAATTTCCTGTAATGTGACATAAACAATCTATTATATTTTTGCTGGGAAATTTGTAGCTGAGGTCAATATAACAGAAAATAAAATTTGAGGAAGCAGACACAGGGCTTCTGTGCTAGAATGAGAGTTGTTTTCCTTATCAGGCCATTCACAGAGGATGGTGCCATTTACAAATTTACATAAAGTAAATTTTACATGCTAAAATGTGTGTCAGGCTGTATTCTGCCACGTTTGTTGCTTCCTGTCATCAGGAAGCAGCAAAATGTTTAATTTTGCATTATCAGAATGCTTGTATTTAGATATAAACAGCCTTTTTTACTTTGACTTGTTAACACAGGTCTCTGGCAGTGGTTTTCCCTCCTCTCCCTGCACTCGCTGCCTTCCGGGCACCATCTTCTTGCTGTGGCTCAGGCTCTGCCATGCTTGGCACAGATGGAGCCACTGGTGGGGCTCTGTCTGGTCCCGGCACTGCTGTTTTGGAGGTCAGTCAGCCTCCTTCCTCCTAGCTCTGTGCTCAGGTGCATAGCTCTGCTGAGAGCTGGTCTGCAGTYTGACCTGAATTTTCCCTGTGAAAAGCAAGAGCTCCCAGGGATTGGTCCTACCTTCTGTGTTCTCAGCTTCAGGGTTTGTCCCTTTGATAGTGGTGATGCATGCAGAGAGCTGAGCATCTACCAAGGTCATGTGTGTGGTTTGAGAAAAATTTAGTGAAAGGAACCCATGCAGCAAGAGCCAGAAAAGTGGTGTGGTTTCACAGGGAGCTGAGTTGATGACTTGAGTCTCAGTTGTAGGCCAGTGATTTAACAAGGTCAATTCCTCATTCATTTAATCTTGTTTAATAATAAACCTGAAATAAATACTTGAAATTTTCTTAGATAATTTTTGCAGCTTTCCACTCAGGACTAATTAGGTGCTATGAGTAGAGCAACTGAATCATTAGAAATGATTCACTGTTTTCCTTCCTAAGGATGTGAATTAGCATATGTTCTGTTTTGCTGATGGAGTGCATCCACTTCAGGAAACCCATGGAGTACGGCTAGTGTGAGTACAGACAAATACATGATGCTAACTTTCTGTCTAAATCCAGCAGCCTCAGTTAGCTCTTATTTTGTATTGTCTTCCAAGTGCCAGACCTGAGTGATAAAGAACTTGTGTTGCTGAAAAGGTGAACCACATAAACYCCCTTCAATGGCATTTTGTCTCAAATTTCCCCATTCCCCACATGACTGAAGGCATCAATTATGGGTTCATAGTCATGTGAACATTGGCAATAGAGCACTGTCTTCTTCAGCATCTAGGATGATACAGAGTCAAAGATATTGATGGTTATATTACTCCAGATCACCTATGTTTTCTAGAAATAATAGAAAATTGAAGAGAGCTGATGGTGCAGGCAGGGGAAATGATGGAGATGTGGTAAGTTCAAGGCAATAGATAGTCCAAACCTGTGGCTTACTTCACCACTCTCCTGCCTTTCTCCAGAAACTACCAGGGGCTTAAAAAATAAGCTCTTGGGCATCTGTTTAAAGAAAAAAAAAAAAAAAAAAAAAAAAAAAAAAAAAAAAGGAAGCTT